TGGTGCATAAATGTTAACAAAATTCCATACAGTATCTTCGATTTCTATTTCTACACGTAAAACTCTCCCATCATAACCATCATAATCTAGTACACCATCTTTTAAAGTATTAGATATCAGTATAGCAACACCTTTTCTATGCTCATTACTATTGTTAAATATAATTTTACCCTGCCACATATGGCTAATTTGATTAACAAAAACGTCATCCCAAAAGGTCTCTTGTAAAAATACGATCTGATAATAATTAGACTGACAATATTCAAATACATTTCTTATTTTAACGACGTCCCTCAAGCCGTTTACATTTAATGACACACATGTAAACATTAAAGAAAACAATAACAACACCGGAAAGTTCATTATGAAACGTCTTTAACTTTTTTCGTTTTTCTTTTTCTTGTTTTCTTAATACCTCCATCTCCTACTTTAGACTTTAGGAAAGCATTACTTATGGTTTCCTGTTTCTTATCGGCAGCGTCCCCCTCACTCACCTCAGTCTCATCCTCATCATTCCAGAACCTCTTGCATGAGGCTTGTGTAACTGCATTCTCCAATGGAAATACATCTCCATAGACCAGAGGCACATCAAGCTGAAGGGGCGCTGAAACGTCATTACAGTCTGCCCGATCCACGCACTTACCATCAGCAGTATCACCATTCACGCAACTTATATCTCCATCCTCAGAAGCCTCAACCTTTGAGTTATTATCACCACCATCATTAGAAGTTCCAATATGATCCTCTCGGACACGATTGGACGACTGGTCCTCTCGGACACGATCAGACGACAGGAATTCCTCCTCAGCCATGACGTCATCATCAGCCTCTGAGCCACCCTGGGAGTCAGCGATATCAACCGAGTTACCACGCGTGTCCTGTAAAACTCCGTCAACAGAATCTCTGTCATCAAGGTTTGTCCCCATGTCAAAACATTCACAGCTGTACAGTCCACATCGGTCACACAGAGTGTCAATACGCCTGACCGCGCGCGCACAATCACACGCGTACCTGATCTCACCGCAACGAGTGCATGGCTGTGTTTTACATGTTTTTCTGAAATGACCCTGGCCACCACAGGTGAAACAAACAAACTTTGGACAGTCTCTGAATAAGTGTTCATCAGAATAACATAAGGAACACACTTTCAACTGATTATCATGTATCACACGGTGATAGTCATTGCCGAATTTCATGGTATACGGTAGTGATTTCAGGTGCGGGGGTAACTTCACACGTACATAACGAGTGCCGTCAGCTACATTAGTTCCCTTATAAAAGCGACGTTTAATGGGGGAAACTAACTCAACACCAATGTTCGCAAGTTTATCTTTTATTTCGTCGTCATCTACATAGGCAGGGAGGTGCAAAAAGCTGACAAGTGTGAATTTCTTGGTGATATCATGGCAATCATATGTCCTACCATCAATAAAAACACCATCCAATAGCAGATTGATCCCTGCTCGGCCCTCTAGGGTGACCTCATATAAATTCCCGGACTTTGGGACACAAGCAAAAACAGAACCTTCACCACACAGTTCCGAAATTACCTCAATTATCCTGTCTGCTTTTAATGATTTGTTATCCAACACATCAATCACAACAGTATTATCTTTACTATAGCGTCTCTTACCGCTACGTGCAGCCTGGGGGTCGCCCGAAGCGGCCATATCCCCCGGAACAAACCGGAAATGGGATATTACAAATTACACCAATATCTTCAAAAATATCACATAATAAATGTTTCAGTGTAATGAACAATATAAATGTTTTAGTCAAATCACAAATATAGGGTCATAGACCCGAGATTACCTCCGATGTAGAACGATTTTTAACCAGCTCAAAGACATACGTCCATCCGCCTCTAAATCATAACCGGAAGTCCTTCGGTGATCGGACGAGAACCGGTGTTTTCAACGTGATATGGCCGTAGACATTAGACGACTAAAAGTTTGCCTATTTATACATGGCTTTCTGCATGTGCACATCCGGCGTACATGTATACTTGCCATGTCCCTTGGTACGCGACCACCTTGAACAGTTGACCAAGGGCAGATGTGGAGCTGCCAGATGTTTTGTCTGTAATGATGTTCATTGCATGTGCAATGTAAAAGTGTAGAGTTGTGAGTGTGTACATTTGATATGTGCAGAGTGGAAATAGCAGTGGTCACGACTCTAGCCTTCAGTGAATAAAAAAGGACAAGGACTCAGTATTCGAGTAAAAAATGTGTCGGCCGTTATGTTAGTGAGGATTTTGCGAGGGGTAAAAATGATTTAAAAAGGAAATTATGAAGAAAAACAAAAGCCTACGACACCTGGTATTCCCAGGCGGTCACCCATCCAAGTACTAACCAGGCTCGACGTTGCTTAACTTCGGTGATCGGACGAGAACCGGTGTTTTCAACGTGATATGGCCGTAGACATTAGACGACTAAAAGTTTGCCTATTTATACATGGCTTTCTGCATGTGCACATCCGGCGTACATGTATACTTGCCATGTCCCTTGGTACGCGACCACCTTGAACAGTTGACCAAGGGCAGATGTGGAGCTGCCAGATGTTTTGTCTGTAATGATGTTCATTGCATGTGCAATGTAAAAGTGTAGAGTTGTGAGTGTGTACATTTGATATGTGCAGAGTGGAAATAGCAGTGGTCACGACTCTAGCCTTCAGTGAATAAAAAAGGACAAGGACTCAGTATTCGAGTAAAAAATGTGTCGGCCGTTATGTTAGTGAGGATTTTGCGAGGGGTAAAAATGATTTAAAAAGGAAATTATGAAGAAAAACAAAAGCCTACGACACCTGGTATTCCCAGGCGGTCACCCATCCAAGTACTAACCAGGCTCGACGTTGCTTAACTTCGGTGATCGGACGAGAACCGGTGTTTTCAACGTGATATGGCCGTAGACATTAGACGACTAAAAGTTTGCCTATTTATACATGGCTTTCTGCATGTGCACATCCGGCGTACATGTATACTTGCCATGTCCCTTGGTACGCGACCACCTTGAACAGTTGAGCAAGGGCAGATGTGGAGCTGCCAGATGTTTTGTCTGTAATGATGTTCATTGCATGTGCAATGTAAAAGTGTAGAGTTGTGAGTGTGTACATTTGATATGTGCAGAGTGGAAATAGCAGTGGTCACGACTCTAGCCTTCAGTGAATAAAAAAGGACAAGGACTCAGTATTCGAGTAAAAAATGTGTCGGCCGTTATGTTAGTGAGGATTTTGCGAGGGGTAAAAATGATTTAAAAAGGAAATTATGAAGAAAAACAAAAGCCTACGACACCTGGTATTCCCAGGCGGTCACCCATCCAAGTACTAACCAGGCTCGACGTTGCTTAACTTCGGTGATCGGACGAGAACCGGTGTTTTCAACGTGATATGGCCGTAGACATTAGACGACTAAAACTTTGCCTATTTATACATGGCTTTTTGCATGTGCACATCCGGCGTACATGTATACTTGCCATGTCCCTTGGTACGCGACCACATTGAACAGTTGAGCAAGGGCAGATGTGGAGCTGCCAGATGTTTTGTCTGTAATGATTTTCATTGCATGTGCAATGTAAAAGTGTAGAGTTGTGAGTGTGTACATTTGATATGTGCAGAGTGGAAATAGCAGTGGTCACGACTCTAGCCTTCAGTGAATAAAAAAAGGACAAGGACTCAGTATTCGAGTAAAAAATGTGTCGGCCGTTATGTTAGTGAGAATTTTGCGAATAGTAAGTAAAGTTGACCACTCTTCTCAAGCAACAAGTGATATTTGAATTGTCACACTAGACGTTTAGTAAGGGAAGTTTGTTGGGCCCTAGAGTATAAGAATAAGTATGACGATAGTTTTATTGTGAGAGATAGCTCACCCGATACATATCATATGTGGTCTGATGACGAAATGCCAAGTCGTAATGTGCTGATACATCAGACAGAACTGACGATATGATAATGAGTTATGTACATGTCCTGTAATCATTATCAAAATCACTGTGATATACTACAGAAATATGAAGGAGAAGGTAATTCTGAATACAGCAGTAAAACAATGCTCCTAAAGAAGTTTTTTACCGGTTAAACGAGGCAAGACTTTTTCCTGTAGAAGTTAACATGACCATGGATATTCACAAACACGTGATCATAATATCTTATTTGCACCACAAAATACAACGTTGAGAAATGAAGGCATGGGTTTAGGGAAGGGTTTTATCTAAATATTACTTGGCTACTGACAAAATCAGTAATGAGAAGAGCTCCGGTAAAGTAACAGTAACCTGTCATAAATAAATAGGTACATATATTTACTGCCAACACAGAATAGGAACTTTGGTTGTGTCCTGTATTTAATGTATAAATCTATCTGCTGGATAAATTTGGCCATCAATGAAATTGTGTCCCAATATACAAATATAGATGTCCCAGTGTTGAATTTTAACAAGGTTACCAGTATTTGACATTTGAGCTCAATTTGATAAACAACTTTGGACACAGAAAGGACCGTTATTGATGAAGGGAATTCTATGTCAGATCGTAACGTCAGAATGAGTAAGACGTGAAGATAAACTCAGACAGTTGTAAAGAATAAAGATTATAACTTGTATAGGTACTGAACATTGTGGAAATACAGACTCATTTTTACAGAGAAAATGAAGTCACTTTGTGTATAAAATAGGAGTTTATTAAAGTAAAAACATCAACAGTCACAAATTGGTTGAACAGACACATGTTATCTGGTATGTAAACAATAAATGTACATGTTACCCTAATAAAGCTATTTCTAAAGTTCTCTCGGATTTATTTCTATCATAGTTACATAAATCTAATATGTAAAGTATGGAGTGTAATACTGATGAACTTGTCAAAGTCTTGCACAAAATATAGATAAGTATGGTGGTACCAATTAAATACCAAATAAGCATTATAATTTCAAGTTAGAATTGTTTATTTATTTCTTGTCTGAGAAGACAAGTAAAAACATTCAATATTCTACTAAACAAACGTGAGATTATAAATTCGTTCTTATTGTCACTTCTATATCTTCTATAAAAATTTTGAAAAAATTAGATGACATTTGATAAAGCAAGAAGAAAAATTTTGTAAAATTTAAAGATGAAGAAAAAGAATAGACAATGCATTTCATTTTTTTTTTTTTTTTTTTTTTGTAAAAATAATCTGAAACAAACATTCCTCAAATTACAGATTTGATGTTCAGTAAAACTATGCAAAACACAACTTTCTAATTATTATGTAACATTTGTAAATTAGACTTCCATCACTGAAAATGCTATTGTGTGAAGATTCTAGGTAATTTATAGACAATGTTTGGCACCGCATTCTAATGGCGTCCTGCCAGACAACAAGACAATACACCATGTTAAATGGACAGATTGGCGTAGTTTTGCTCTCTTTACATTGATTTGGTGATATGCTTATCTAACCGAACACATTATATATAAATATATAAATAAATAAATAAGAAATTATTGTGTATATATAGCAATAGCATGTAAACAAAATACTGTACTTATCCCACAGTCACTCAACCTATATCTAAGGGCCCTGTAACACGTTATCAATTTGAGGAACATATGCTGACACATAACAAATTAATCAAACTTCTTTTAAATGCTTGAGTACACTGAACATCAATGTATTTTTTTACCAATTATGGGTACATACATACCGTATTTATAACAAGTGGAAAGGAGACATAGCATCTTAGTGACTTTTCCAGAAAAAAATCTACAAAGTGTTGCGGACAGCCTCAGGACTTGGCCAGCATTTACATATACCTACTTATAACTTACAATGCAATAGAATTACTAATCTTTTCATACATCAACATACACTGACTCAACACAAAAATTCTTTGGCTTCATACATATACCTATATGATTGTATTGATGATCACTTTAGTCCTTCCAGATCCAACCCTCATAAAATTGTAATAAAGAAGATGTTGTTTGTTAAAGGTATGGATCAAACAGTATGCTAATATAACTAAACAGAATATCTGAACCCAGAAACAACCTATAAAATTCTATTCATTTCTTGGTATAGAATCTTTCTAGAATCACTCTCTTGACAAAACAAGTTGGTTTGCCAAATTGACAAGGTCACCTCCATTTAATGTTTTACTGACCCAGGCCTCTGGTATACCAGTCATTCCCAACACTGCTCCAAGAGTTGCCCCAACAAAGCCACCTCTGCTACAGTTACAGCCACCAGCAGCAATTGTCATCACTACCGTGTCCCGGAATTCTCCGTTGGAGTTGAGCAGACAGTGAACAGAGTTAGTAAAGTTACCAGGGACCCCTGTAACACAACAATTTTATTATGACTTTGATTCTGTTTCTTTAAAACTGAATACAATCTCAACCTCATGCCTGGTACCAAATCAAACAAGAATATCTATATTGACTGATGTTGACTCTATTTCTCCTGCAATAAGCCCAGGGACTAACACATTATTCTGACACAGAAGTCAGGGGTTTGACTTACTACAGGGTAGATACAATAAGGAGAGGGACTAACACATTATTCTGACACAGAAGTCAGGAGTTTGACTTACTACAGGGTAGATACAATAAGGAGAGGGACTAACACATTATTCTGACACAGAAGTCAGGAGTTTGACTTACTACAGGGTAGATACAATAAGGAGAGGGACTAACACATTATTTCTGACACAGAAGTCAGGAGTTTGACTTACTACAGGGTAGATACAATAAGGATAGGGACTAACACATTATTCTGACACAGAAGTCAGGAGTTTGACTTACTACAGGGTAGATACAATAAGGATAGGGACTAACACATTATTCTGACACAGAAGTCAGGAGTTTGACTTACTACAGGGTAGATACAATAAGGAGAGGGACTAACACATTATTCTGACACAGAAGTCAGGGGTTTGACTTACTACAGGGTAGATACAATAAGGAGAGGGACTAACACATTATTCTGACACAGAAGTCAGGAGTTTGACTTACTACAGGGTAGATACAATAAGGAGAGGGACTAACACATTATTCTGACACAGAAGTCAGGGGTTTGACTTAACAGGGTAGATACAATAAGGAGAGGGACTAACACATTATTCTGACACAGAAGTCAGGAGTTTGACTTACTACAGGGTAGATACAATAAGGAGAGGGACTAACACATTATTCTGACACAGAAGTCAGGGGTTTGACTTACTACAGGGTAGATACAATAAGGATAGGGACTAACACATTATTTCTGACACAGAAGTCAATAGTTTAGACAAGGTGACCTATTGTAATCCCCTTGGAGCAAAGATAATGTAAAGATTATGTCAAAGTTGCTCAAAAACATTGGATAAGATAATGTTACTAAAATTATTCAACTGCTACTTACTGCAACTGCTTCCAACTGTATGTACAAAGTCTGTGTGGGGTGTAGCTTTACCATCAATAGCTTTCTGTATGTAACCTTTCACATTCTCACTGCTGGACTCCAGTGTCTCATGGATAGCAACCTCTATAGATTTGCCAAGCACACACTTTTCCAATATACTTGCAGCTACAAGTAAAAGTAAACATCAGAAAAAATGCAAGTGTATGGAGAACAGTAAAAAAAATGATACTCAATGGTGACAATGACATGTGACAGACTGACATGTGACAAACTGACATGTGACAAACTGACATGTGACAGACTGACATGTGACAAACTGACATGTGACAGACTGACATGTGACAAACTGACATGTGACACTGACATGTGACAAACTGACATGTGACAGACTGACATGTGACAAACTGACATGTGACAGACTGACATGTGACAAACTGACATGTATGTGACAGACTGACATGTGACAAACTGACATGTATGTGACAGACTGACATGTGACAAGCTGACATGTGACAAACTGCCATGTGACAAGCTGACGTGTGACAAACCGCCAAGTAACAAACTGACATGTGACAAGCTGACATGTGACAAACTGACATGTATGTGACAGACTGACATGTGACAAGCTGACATGTGACAAACTGCCATGTGACAAGCTGACGTGTGACAAACAGCGAAGTAACAAACTGACATGTGACAAGCTGATATGTGACATGTGACAAACTGCCATGTGACAAGCTGACATGTGACAAACCTCCAAGTAACAAACTGATATGTGACAAGTTGATATGTGACAGACTGACATGTGACAAACAAATACTTCGTTAGATGCATGAATAATGACACTAACATAATCTTTTTATTAAATGTATATGTTTTTAACTTAACATTTATAGACAATATGCAATTTACCTAGACACACATAACAGTTAAACAATTACAATAACTTTGAATAAATTTGAGGTTTGGGCTAGTTACTACTAAGAAAGAAATCTATTGTATATTGTTCACATTATGAGCCTCTGTTTTCATATCTATTCTTTCTTGATTTCTAACTTTTCAATTTAGATTAAAGTGTACTTATACAAAAATCTTATAACATAACTCTGTTGTACTAGACTGAGTAAGAATACTGAAGCATAAGACTTTTATACTTTTCATAAAACATACCTCAGATCTTTCTTTTGGTAACTGTTGGAGTCAAAAGATTTATTTTTCCCAAAGACATCATGTTGTAACATTTTCACAGACCAATATGTTTACCTGCCATCCCACATTCAACAGCAATGCTATCCTCTTGGGTGACACGAATGGCTTTTTCCACTTCTTTCAAGAGCTTGCCAGTATCCCCAGCATATAGTGCTACTAATGGTGCAACCTTGGAAAACCCATCTGCCTGAGACGATAAAAAACACACATTCTCATCTATACCATGTTAATTATAATATAATTGTTTATTTTTATGTGTTATATGTAGGAAATAGAGGAAGAAATCACAGTGTGACAAAACTATATTCAGTATGGAAACAAGTATATTATAGACTTTGTAGATAATGTTATGATGTTAACACAAATACTGGTAGTCTGCAATGATAACTACATATCTGTGATTTCATCTTTGTCTTGGTCATGCATCAAGACAAAAATAAAAATCTTGCATAGATTGTCACCAGCCTTCGCACCAACATACTGGTAAATAAAGTCATGTCAGACTGGAGATGGCCATGATAACAATGGTACCCAGCTCTCACTGCAGATATCTTGTATTGTTGTTTCATCCTACCTGTGAGTCTGGGTCTTTTCCAGTCTTAGCTAATCCTTGGTCATAATTCTTTATAAAATCAGTAAGTGACGCTGGTCTCCAGGGTCCTGGGATAGGCAAATCATCCTTGGTTCTAGGATGACCCAGGTCAATTTCATAAGCTGATTTAGGGCCAAAACATTCATATAGGGATTTCTTATAGTGCTCCGTGTTCAATCCTGAAAATTTGAAAGTATCACTGATCCAGTTCCAAGGCTTAAATCAAAATGCTATATTTATCACCGTCAAATTGTGATACAACAAAACTTTCTCTTTATCAAGAGATATTTTGTGTCATATTATAATGAAAATCCTTCTGTAATCATGCATTGAACATCACAACAACTTAAACCATGAACTGTTTAAGATTAAGATTCAGTTTTTCATAGTTTTTAACACAGGCTAATATCTGGAATTAAAAATTAGTTATTGTGGAAAGACTTCATAGCACTCCAGCAGAAAAATCAGTGGTAACTTCTGATATTTTGAGAATCACAGGAACTTTGTTACATGTTGGGTCTTACTAAATTGCAGAAGCTGCTTAGAACCCACTGTCAAAAGGTTCTCTAGAGAATGAAGATTTCTAAATCTTTTCAAGGTGGGGTTTCTTAAGGTTTCTCTAGAGCATGAAGATTTCTAAGTCTTTTCAAGATAGGGTTTCTTAAGGTTTCTCTAGAGCATGAAGATTTCTAAGTCTTTTCAAGATAGGGTTTCTTAAGGTTCCTCTAGAGCATGAAGATTTCTAAATCTTTTCCAGGTGGAGTTTCTTTTAATAGCTTGCAGCTATCTCGCTAAAAGAAATGCCCATTGCATGTAATCTAATGCTACTGTTAAGCAGCTTACCCATAGACACAACCACTACAGCACATGGTGGTCTGTTTCTTAGCTATTTGAAAATCACTAACTCTCCTGAGGAGAGATTTATTTTCCCTTTCAAACATTATTTGCATTGCTGATTTACATAGCACACGAATCAATTTGTTGTTTTGAAAATATATTTCACAACTGTTATACGATACAATGCATATCCCTGGTACCTGATGTCATAATATGAGGTCTGGGTTCTTTAAAACTTCAGATGATTCATCAATATTATTACAAAGCACAGTCCAATCTTGGTCCAACATTTGAAGTGAACCACTGACCTACAGGCCTATACCTTATTAGTGCCATATAAATTTTCACCTTATGGATCTTGGTGAAATCATGCAAGTAAATTTTTTAACTTTATAACACTTTATTCCAGGCCAGATATCAGGAAGCAGGTGCTATCAGTTTTTAAAGAAGCTGTTCAAAACTAAAAAGTTGACGAATGGACAATAGACAATGGATGATGCAGTATATAATGCTACACTGTATATAATGTTACAATATAAGCTCAGTGTCATGCCACCCTCCATAAACCACAATCACAAACAAACAAGCTACCTTTGTTCTCAACCATAGATTTCAGCAAAACAAATGTCTGGTCACCGTAACTGCTGTATCTGCCAGTGGGGAGCGAATAAAAGGGACAGCGACTTTCAGGTAAGAATTCTGGCTTCTGCTGACAGTCTTCTAAAACCTTATTCATTTTTTCTTTATCATAGATCCAGTGCACTGGCATAGCTATAATAAAAATGATTTTATTTCTTTCACAGATACTATAGAATCATGTTACTTCATTACACACTCAAATTGTGATAAATCAATGTATCACAAACAACACAGAGGCCTTAGGACAAATATGTATATTCTCCCACAATATACAGATCACTGTAAAGCAAGCAACATTTATTCATGGAACAATGTTTAATCTGTAATTAACCAAATTATATAAAATATCTGATTTAGCAAATTAGGTATCTTATTTAACCAATTATATGATATCTTATTTAATTAATTAACATTAAGAACAGTACTTGACTATTAGATGATAAAACCTCCCTTAACACCTGGAAGCTGATGTATATACAAAATTATTTGCCAGGCATTAAAAAAAAAAGCCCATGACCTTTCATTGACGGTATCAACATGAGTACTTTGTGGATGTGATATCCAATTTCATTTTCTTTGTAATTTAGTGTATTTTATATCTGCTTTAATTTCATCAAGCACTATAGGGATCCACTAATTTTGCTCTCTGAATAAATAACAATTTAGTTTGCCATATTATCATGATAAGCTGATCTATAATTTACATATGTTACTACAATTGTTACAGAAATATATCATTATCACTTATCATCTATGCACATCATTAACTGTCGTTATGTACATACTCATTAGTCCCAAGTTAGATTATGTACAATTCGAGTTTGATCAGTCGACAGTTTTCATGTGCTAACAAAATTGTTTTCTCTGCATTTTAACAAAATGGCATATATAGTACATACCTGATGCGTCTGCCACCAGAGATCCAACGACTGCCCCTACACATCTCTGCGTTAAGTTTACCATCTTGGTGCTTTGAAGACAAAGTGGAAAAAACTATACCGGTCAGAAAGTGGAATACTGATATAATGTTTTTTGGTCTATCGTTACATTTGTTCACCCGTTCTGCACACCGGATGTAGAATTTGAAAATTATATAACGATGTGACTACCCGTTCAAAAATAATATTCATCAATATCAGTTTTTTTCAAATTGTTGTAGTTTTCCAAAACTTACGTCATTATCTCCATAAATGTTCTTTGCAGTGCGCTTCCCTTGTGGGTGCTTGGTCGGTGGATGCTTCAGGTAAAGTGAAAGTAGGAATCAAACCGGAAGTTGATAACTTGATATTAATTGACAATATTAATTTTAAAAAATTAGTTTCAATTGGTTTACCCTTTAGCTGTTAATGAAACATCAAAATGTACTTGAATCGATATCAAATTATGGAATTATTCAAACGAAAAAAATAATTTTCTATATCAAATGTCTTCATATGCCGGAAGTTAAACGTTAAGTATGGCGAGCAGAGTCGTCGTAAACCAGAAAGGTTTGTCGGTAAGACATCACTTTTTTACTTAACTGTTTGTTACTGTTTAAACTGTTATCATTTTTTAAAGTAATATGGAGTGGAATCGTCTGAAAAAAATGCTCGTGGATGATAAGAAAATAATAGAAAACAAATAGCATATGTGTCATGTATACGGAGTATTTAATAACACGCGGACAAATCATGATATTGATAAGACGCCGAACAGAGTATTTTAGATGTTCATTTATGATTGAATCTCAAAGACACTGATCTACGCCTCTCTGTCATGTGCAAAATAGCCCTTGTCCGATGAGGGACATATGTCCACTTTCTCATGTCCATCACTGTTAGACCTTGGGTGTCTATTTTCCATATCCCTATCCTAAATCTGATATTGATGTTGTTGTGAATGTGATGTAAATGTCAAGCTGACATCCCTTGATAAATTGACTCATGTTAACTCACCCAGAAGGTGATGAGCAACAGAACTTCACAATATTCACAGTAGTGTGCATTGGTCGAGCTATAGAAACAGATGTGTTTTTAATCTGTTATAGTCAAATTGTACACTATACCTGCTGTTAACTGCACACTCAGGGTTTTCCATAAGAGCCGGTTGTCGGCCAATTTGACCGGCTACTTTGATCATTTTGCCGCCTACACCTATCCAGTTCCATACACAACTACACGTACACGGCAGGCCAGCCTCCTACTTTCACTACACAGCCTACTACTAACAAAATTATGGAAAACCCTGACACTATAGACTAGCTGTATATATCATATATTCTCACAGTGTTATATCATCACAATATAATCTTTACACCATGAAAAATAAGACAATGAAAAACCGCATATCAAGATATCAAGTTATCTTTTTGCAAAGAATGTCAAACCAGGTAGCAAACTAATAATTCAGATTGACAATGAATGTGTTCTGAAAGAAAAAATATAAGCCAGCAAGAAGAAATAATCTCCTTCTCAAAGATATATGACATCAAACAAGAAGCCATTTTGAAACCCTGTGTGTAATTATTCTCTTCAGCTCCAAAATGAAGAGAAATTGAACTTTACTGACCATTTTCCACTTGTATCTGTTTCTAAGGTCTTGTCAAATATATGTAGCTCAAAAGAGAAGAAGAAAGGATGGTTACTTGGATTTCAAAAAAGTAACCATTATGAAGTTGTTGCATGTGCAACTTGCCAGGATGACTGGAACATAGAAGATGTCAAGCAATATTTACCAGGAGGTTGGTGTCATTTAATTAAACATCATTTATATAGTTCTCCAATCTCATTAGACATTCACTTGAGGACAAAAGATTTTTATATTCATGCCATGGAGAGAGTGTGAAAGCAATTAATTAAATCATATCACACAAGCATTTTAAGTCATTTACCCTGTATTTGTTTGGATGTGCAGTTATACAAACTGTATATGATGGAGATATGTGTTATACTTTTGTCTTCCTTTTCGTCAATGTTTTGTATTGTCTATTCATATTTCTGTACTAAATCATATTGGTTGTTGTTAGCCTTAGTGATGTACTACCAAGTATTTACCATTCCTTATGATCAGATCTGGATGAAAGTTTGAATTGCCTGTGTAATTTATTTCACAGGCACAATTCTAAGTGAAAAAGTAGTGTGTATTTAATTTTACAACTAGCAGACTCTGATGGATTGAAGCCGATTCCAATCACCAATCGTAATCAGACAAATAACTCTCCTATATAAATCAAATATTAATAAGTGATCAAATACAACCAACTTCACAACAATTATGAAACAAGTGACAACTTAACTAAGTAGAGTCGACATTGGTTACAAGTATGTTGGTCGATCAGTAGGGCACTGTGCTTTAGGTATGGATACCGAAAGGTATGCCGGGTGAGGAAAAAATATAATGACAGGTGCACTAAGTTACAAACTTATGTTAATCATTAATTTTGGTTCAAATATGGAAGCACCTAGCTGGTTGATCTTACTGCGGAAGAAATCAGATTAAGTGGAGTGACTGAGCACTGGTGACCGCATTACTTTTTTTGCTACCAAATGCAATTAACCAATGTGCCAGGCAACCACCCTATGTGGACTCATTTATGTAGTGAAGTCTGTTTGGGGCACAACAGACTGAGTTTATTTTTTTGTTTTGTATTGTTATTTGCAGGTATCTATATTGTTGGTGCATTTTACTCTGGTGCAGTTGCTGTAGATACTAACAGTATTGTCAAAGATTTGGGCAATTTTGGACTGGAAAAGGTCAGTTTAATGATGATATTGTTGAGCTGTATGATTGCCTATAAATGTTACAAATTGTATTGCTTTCACCGTCCCTGTAACATATAATACCCGGTAGTACAAATTTCATTGTTTTCACTGTCATTGTAACATTTAATGTAAAAAATTTCATTGCTTTCACTGTAACATCTAATGTTTTAAATTTCATCGCTTTCACTGTCCCTGTAACATCTTTGCTAATTACAGAGAGGGAATAATGACCGCAACATACCCAAGCACTAGTTTCAACCCTATGGCAGTCTTCATCACCAACTGGTTGAAACTTTAGTAGTCTACTAGTTTCAACCCTATCGCAGGGTCTTCATCACCAATTGGTTGAAACTAGTTTCAACCCTATCGCAGAGTCTTCATCACCAGTTGGTTGAAACTTTAGTAGTCTACTAGTTTCAACCCTATCGCAGGGTCTTCATCACCAATTGGTTGAAACTTTAGTAGTCTACTAGTTTCAACCCTATCGCAGGGTCTTCATCACCAATTGGTTGAAACTTTAGTAGTCTACTAGTTTCAACCCTATCGCAGGGTCTTCGTCACCAATTGGTTGAAACTTTAGTAGTCTACTAGTTTCAACCCAATCGCAGAGTCTTCATCACCAATCGGTTGAAACTTAAATAATCTACTAGTTTCGATGCTATTGCATTCATCAGGATGAAGACCCTGCAATAGGGTTGAAACAAGTAGAGTAGATTTTAACGCTTATGTTGTAGTTATTATTCCCTCTCTATAATAAGTTTGTTTTCTCTACCTGCCCTGCATACCTCTGAGATATCCATATGCAAGGTTCTACACTGAGAAAACACACCAATTTCCATCTGCAATGGCTCCTTCCTAGAACTTTACTAATTGTATATAAAGTTCTGTAATAAATTAATAAAAAGCCTAGAATGTCGGTTTCTAAAACCTGGGGTGAAGATACCAAGGCAGTAAAGTTTGATGTTCCCTACTCTGAACATTTTCTATGAGAAATGAACTTTTGGATGGCATAAATGCGCCTTCGGTATGTTGTTCAGTAAGGAAGTCACCAAATACTGAAATGAGTTCCCACCTCAAATTGACCCTGGCTATTGACAGGGCAAGGAAACCAGTCAGTTGTCAGTTAGGTCTGTACAGAATATCACATTCATATGTATATTGGCACAACATAATATTTTTTATCTGACGTCTTTTCAGATTCTTGAAGGAGATTTCGTTGTATGTGCAGTTGGAGTGACATGTGACTCAGTTGCTGAGGAAAACTTTTATTTGTGGACAGATGGACAGACCCTAACCATACCAGTGGTCAGCATATCACATGATCTCAGTCTAGACAATCTCCTTATCATTAGGATTCAGTGTCCTATTCCTCTGAGTTTTGAACTTGTTACTAATGCTGGTAAGTATCATATCAGTCTCTTATATATTTTCATTTCTCCTATTTTTCACTCATGTGTTTCTGGTCTGACAAGGAAAAAAAAGATCATTCTGTACATACTCTGATGAGTAATTAAACAACTAGCAGTGTTCTTTAGTTTTATAAAGCCTTGGGTCATATTGTTTTGTCTGTAGATTGCATGGATGTTTGGCTGTCAGTTTTATTATTTATGTATGACTCATATTCAAGGTCACAAGGGTCAAATAAGTTGGAAACTGCTAACCTCATTTTCAACAATAGTGCCATTTCTGGAATTCTGATACTATATATTTAGTAAAATGAGAGAGTAATTTAATTTCTCTATATTCGTGGTTATCAAAGATAGTGCAAGATTAAATACCCAGCAAATATTTAACAGAGAATTAAGACATAAGGAAGTATGTGTTACATGCCTCTGTACATGGATATCTATTTATTGACATGCGGAAATTTAATCCCAATGAACTAGCCCGAACTCGGACAACTGCAAGATATCAACCCCATAAAATAAAACAGCTTAACAGTATTTACCTTGAAGCTTACTGTGTTAAAAAAAGCATTTGATGTGATGTGATGATAGTAGGTGAACAACTTTTTGAAAGTCAAGTATTTATTTTATTTAAATAAATATTTAAATGAATTTTCATAAGAAATACAAGACCTGGAGCCATGATATTTTGCATCAAACTTTTAATCAAATTACTTTGATCTGCATTCAGAGTCAATTTCTCAGTGTATAAATAGGTTCCAATGACCTTTCTGTAATTGTTCAATGTTTAAAAAAAAAAAACAGTTCAGACGGCTCAATCATTATTTTCAACAATTAATGCATGATGATCTTTAATGTCTCGAGTCAAACATTTCAAATAGTGTACATGTAGAAATAGAAATATTTAAAATGTGTAGAAATATTTGAAATATGATCTTTTGCTTGTAACCTGACACAATAGTTGATAGTTATGCTATCGTAAATAACATGTAAATGATACACCTTTTATAGAGGATGAATTAATGTTACAGATATATGGAAATCAAATCTTCAAAAGGAAATACATCAATTGTGCAATGCCGCAAGGTCTAGAAATGTTCTGTACCATCTTAAAAACAGTGATATCCTCATTGGACAAGATCAGCTGTGTGGTGTGGCCCGAGATTCTTCATGTTCCGACCTGCACAGCCATATAAAAAGTGATGATGGATTTGGTACAAGTGGCAGAAAGTCAAAAAAGGACCAACTGGTAAGTGATCACCTGTGGCTCTCTATGTTTTCCTCTAGACAAAAATCCAAGCTGATATACAGGGTTGTGTAATTTAAGTTTAAATAATTCAAAGGATTTTTCTTGGATTGATACTGTATGTGAAATTGAGTATCATCCTTTACAATCCTAATGATAATGAGAGTAATCAAGGTAAATTCTCTAGCATATGTAAGATTCATTTAAGCAAGGTCAATGTGATTTGAAGGTGGCGTGATATCTGTATATTTTAAGAGCACCACCAAACATACAATAGATATGTTAGAAGTCCTCATACCTGTATTCCATTCATCTTGCTTCTGGTCAACTTCATGATTTATGAAATTAACACCATCATTACAAGTTATAACCACGACAATATTGCTGTATATATGTCACACTTAGCTGTGCCTGGATATTAGTCTCCGCTGTATACATGAGTTTTAATAGAAAACAGATCTCATTGTAACAAGCTTATCCCTTTTACTCTGAGTAACAATAAGTGTTCAGGTCTCATTATTGCAGAATAAGCTAAGTATATGTACATCTGTATTATATTCTAAAACTTATAATTGAACATGTCTGATACAGGATGAAAATGTTGTTTAGAAATATAGAAAACACTGAACATTTTGGGATTTTTTTATTTACAGTCTACACTACAGTTCTCTATGTACCATCAGATCAAGAAAAAGCCTTCATTTCATGCTGTTCCAACGTGTTGTCCTGTCATAAAACATTCATTAGGTAAGACCTCATGCTAGAAATGACTAAGTCAAGTACAGGTCAAACAACATGAGTTGTTAAAAACTAACAAAGATCTACATTTAAGTATACAAATATGGTGAGTTGTTAAAAGTCAACAGGGACTTTTATGTAAGTAAGGCAAGTACAAGTAAATCATGAGGAGTTGAAGTTTAAAGGGATCCACATGTAAAAGACTCTAATGTTCATTGTTTAGCAAGAATGAAAGACATTTTGAAAAGAAAATTATTTGTGGGACCAAGGTCGTTTTATGACTTTATTCGAAAGAGAGTATCTATTCTGCTTCAAGCATTTGATAAAATCATGAAAATTTAAACCATCAAATTAAAAACAAAAACAAAAATTATAGCATCTGTGCAGGTTTACAATATCTTTGCAGGTTTGCAATATCTGTGCAGGTATACAATATTTGTGCAGATTTACAGTATCTGTGCAGGTTTACAATATCTGTGCAGGTTTGCAATATCTGTGCAGGTTAACCATATCTGTGCAGGTTTACAATATCTGTGCATGTTTGCAATATCTGCAGGTTTTGCAGGTTTGCAATATCTGTGCAGATTTACAGTATCTGTGCAGGTTTACATTAGCTGTGCAGGTTTACAATATCTGTGCAGATTTACAGTATCTGTGCAGGTTTACATTAGCTATGCAGGTTTACAATATCTGTGCAGGTTTACAATACATATGTAGGTTTCTACGTGAGAAACTTTGTCCACAAAATGTCATTTGTTACCTGGTACACAAGTTTATGTTCATTTCAACTTTACCTCATGTTGCATTTAATTTTATGGATTTTTGAAGAAATTTTTGAATTTTGAAGACTTTATAAAAAATTAATTCAGTAAGTTGCCGATTTGTTCTTACAGTGAATGTAGAAAAGTAGATAACAGAAACATGTTCTTAACGCTGAACAAATGTGACTTTTATTCCCAGGAAATTACAAGAGTGTTGAGATGACCCTTCCTGTAGATGCTCTGGCAGTGGTTAGCAGGGACCTACCCATCACAGATCTCCATGCCATCCTTGGTATGGCTGTGAGTCACCAGCTTTCTGCAATGTCAACCTGCATCATCAGGGACACAGTTGTAAGTCACCTATGACCGATTTCTGGGTCACTGATCACTGTATATGTATTAGGTCAATGATGACCTAATTAGGACTTTGATCTATGATAGTAACTACTTTTGATACATGTCACCCATATTTTACATAGAAATTATAGAGATGATGTAATTTTGGATATGAAAAGTTCTTATGAACAAGAAAAATTAAAATTCAAGTTTTAATTATTCTCCTAATTGGAAAATGTTGGGGGTAATTTCATTTCTAATTGAAAGAAAAAAATATGCAAAAAGAAAACTTATTATGTTGCAAGAAAGATATCACAGCTGTAAAAATCAACTTACATTGTGTCCAGTTTATGGTAGTGTTCCGAATGTATGTAAAGTATTATGTGGAATTTATTTTGTAATTATGTATAAAGCAAAGATCATTAAAGCAACTATTTTGATATTGATGCCAAAAGGAAACATGTTTATGATTGTAACTGATCTATTTCAGGCTAAAAGTGAGAAGTTCAGTAGACCTGTACCATACCATTTCCAGCCCGGTGGTCTACAGGCTATATTCTCTATGGTCTACTTACATAATATGCCAGATGAACAATTAGGTAAATGATATGTTCAATACATTATATCTCCATTTATGCTGCAATGTTTCTGTGTGAATCAACAAAGTAAATTTCATTTCCAGCCATATCTTTTACTCAATATAATTTGATACAACATCTGTATACAATGTCTTTTTATGCTCCTTTCAACAGTTTTATAGCAGCTAAATAGCAACAAGAAATTATTGTTCCTTCATTACCAACAAATTATCAAGATCTCCACATAGTGACTACATTACTCTATTTGTAAATTAGTTAAACTTATACAGTCAGTTCAAGGTGAGGATGTGAAATCAAACACAAGTTATTATACATCAATAAATTCTCATGTGGATAAGCAGGGAAATCATTCTAATGGTGATATATTGGAGGGTGATAGCAGAAACTGCTGCAAGTTGTAACTATAAAACAAAACTGAAAGGCTGTATTTGGCAGTTCAAAGACGGACAGAGGTTCACAGAATGCTGGGTTTGCCAGAAAACCAGCCCATGTTTAGGAGAAGCAATGCTATGATGTTACATGAGGAACGCTCTAGTTATGGATATCTGATCAACCCTCACACAAGTATCACTAGTCCTGGAGGTAAGCATCACAGGAAAACATCACATGTCAGGTAGGTAAACATCACCTGTAAGGGAGGTAAACATCATCTGTAAGGGAGATAAAACATCGTCTATCAGGGAGATAAACATCATCTATCAGGGAGATAAACATCACATGTCAGGGAGGTAAACATCATCTGTAAGGGAGGTAAACATCATCTGTAAGGGAGATAAAACATCGTCTATCAGGGAGATAAACATCATCTATCAGGGAGATAAACATCACATGTCAGGGAGGTAAACATCATCTGTAAGGGAGGTAAACATCATCTGTAAGGGAGATAAAACATGGTCTATCAGGGAGATAAACATCGTCTATCAGGGAGATAAACATCGTCTATCAGGAAGATAAACATCATCTATCAGGGAGATAAACATCATCTATCAGGGAGATAAACATCGTCTATCAGGGAGATAAACGTCGTCTATCAGGGAGATAAACATCGTCTATCAGGGAGATAAACGTTGTCTATCAGGGAGATAAACATCGTCTATCAGGGAGGTTAACATCGTCTATCAGGGAGGTAAACATCATCTATCAGGGAGATAAACATCATCTATCAGGGAGATAAACATCGTCTATCAGGGAGATAAACGTCGTCTATCAGGGAGATAAACATCGTCTATAAGGGAGATAAACATCGTCTATCAGGGAGGTAAACATCATCTATCAGGGAGATAAACATCGTCTATCAGGGAGATAAACATCATCTGTCAGGGACATAAACATCGTCTATCAGGGAGATAAACATCGTCTATCAGGGAGATAAACATCGTCTATCAGGGAGGTAAACATCATCTATCAGGGAGATAAACATCATCTATCAGGGAGATAAACATCGTCTATCAGGGAGATAAACATCGTCTATCAGGGAGGTAAACATCATCTATCAGGGAGATAAACATCATCTATCAGGGAGATAAATGTCATTGTCAAGGGGGATAAGATCAGTTGGCAGGGAGATACACATCACCAGTCACCAAGATAAATATCATCTGTCTGAGAGATAAACATCAGTTGTATAAATATTGGCTTTCTAAAAGATCTACATTATCTGTCAGGTATGTAAATGTCCCATATCAACATTTTTTGGAGTTAAACCTGTTAAATTCTTGTTCCATTCATAATCAATCATGTCTTCAATCTTTTATTATTTTTTTAAGTTATATATCCTTTATCTTGATATGCCTCTTTCTTTAATTCTGTAAAACAAAAACAACTTACAAAGTCCTTTATGTAGTTACAACATATATGTATGTGAATGATTTTGTTACAGTAAATGGCGGAAGCCAGTACCTAGTGGATGGCCTGTACAGTTACCACCATTATATGCAGGACAGGTTTGATGATAACAAATGGGGTTGTGCTTACCGCTCCCTACAGACAATAATGTCCTGGTTCAAACTGCAAGCCTACACAGAAAGGACAATAGCTAGTCACAGAGAGATACAGCAGGTATATACACAACAAATACTGTCATTAATCTTTGTTTTGATTAATTAATCAATCAGTGACTGCTTGTTTTAACCTATCAGTAATTGAGATTTATCTTCGTGAATCTTTTTATAAAAGGGTTGATTTAAATAAATTTTTTATGAAGAGAAGTGTTAAATACTTCAATGTACAATATATGCTCTTTATTTCAGGCACTGGTGGACGTTGGCGACAAGGACCCCAAATTTGTAGGGTCGCGCCAGTGGATTGGGTCAATGGAGGTCAGCTACTGTCTGGACCATCTTTTAGGGGTATGTCTTATACCGAGTTCGCAACTAATTAGAGATACTATCACCAAAGAAAATCCTTGACTTCAATGGGAGATAGGCATTATAAAAACATTTGGGCATGATAATACCAATGTTGTATAGATTGTTATTAATCTAATTGCTAGTGTCCAAGACCATGCTGACAAACTGACATTAATAAGTGCAAGGCAATCAGTAGGTTATACAAGGCTTTACAACCAGGGTTATTGTTGAGAAAATTATAACAGTAAAAGTGATTTTGAAAAGCGCTTGATTTATCATTGGTTTCTTATTTCAGATAACTTCAAAGATCATGTTTGTTAGTAGTGGTGCAGAACTTTCAACTAAAGGGAGAGAACTATCACTTCACTTTCAGACACAAGGGACACCAGTAATGATAGGTAAGTTCTGGAATTCATTTTTTTCTGGTTAACTTAACTGACATGATTGTAATAAAAGCTTTAAGCTGTGGTAATATATCATCAGGACAGAAACTAGCTGCAAGTCATGATTGGTTGTTTTGATATACCGTATGCAAGCCATACCATTAATATATGTTTATCATATGTTCTGCCTATTACCCACTGAATTCACCCAAGTGATATTTTTTGCATATGTGTTATTGTAATATATGCTGAGGCATTTTTCATTGGCTGCACCAGTCAAAAAGTGATGGTGTTGTCATATTATGTATGGACAATGACGTTACTTCATAAACTGAAAATGGTGCAACAAATTGTCTTCCTCCAACTAGTCTTTCACATTTTGAATTAAATACCTGTCAGAATGAATTTTTTTCTGGAGTGAAGTTTTACAAAGTATCTTAGATTTATTTTTATTTCATTTGAAATTTTCTGGAACTCCTATTTAAGTTTGCTTGCAAAAAAAATAACCTCCAAAATGGAAGAGAATGTTACAGAATGCATCTACAAAATCGGAGACAAGAATTGCAACGCATCATATATCAGAGAAACATCCAGGAGATTCGGAGTCTGTTTTGATAAAAAAACAGAAAGATGTGGAAACCCCAGAAGTTAGAATATAAACTAGATAAGAGTGAAAACATTCACAGTCCCAGATCAGTAGATCAGCGCTTACATATCATTCCACACAGCAAAATCATATCATTGACCTGGAAGAATTCCAAAATAGTCTCGCACTATTTTTGGCCTTGGTGTACATAGGATTTGAAATATCGCCAAAACGTTGGTTGATTCTTAATTACCATCTCGTACACTGTGTACATCAGAGCTAATTTGCTCAACACTGGTCATTTGTCTAAGCAAGGTGATCCTGCACTCATTGAACGAAACATCACACTCAAATCTTCCACTGGTTGTATTAGGAGAACTTTTCTATTGACATTACCAACCTGAACGAAAAATTCCAACATACTTATAAAACACATAAAATCTCATATAAAGTGAGAACTTTTAGATTCTTTATATATGTAACAGAAGGCATTACTTATTACAATGTCTCCGAAAGGATTCAAGCTCATGACCCCTGTAGGTTTACTAATTTGATGCTGAAGATCTCTACAGTCGAGCATTTAACACTTTCGTCATTTAAGTCCTTGTTTAATGAGTGTTACTTTGGAATATTGTAATTGAATGTAGCTAGCCATTGTTTTATTAATTATACTTGATGTTTCCTGTTGTAGGAGGTGGTGTGCTGGCTCATACCATCCTAGGAGTTGATTTCAATGAAGTGACAGGAGACCTCAAGTTCCTCATCCTAGATCCTCATTATACTGGGGCTGAAGATCTCAAAGTCATCCTTGATAAGGTATGTATATGTATGAAAGATTTAACCATTTAGCACTATTATTACTATTTATTACTTGAAGAAAATCATGCTTTTAAAAATGTTTTTTAAACATATGTTTTTTATTTTCTTTCAATTTTTGCCACAGGTGTATAGTGATTGAATATGAAACCACTTCATTTCTCTTCTATTCAACAGGGATGGTGTGGCTGGAAAGGACCAGATTTCTGGGACCAGCATGCCCATTACAACCTGTGTATGCCTCAAAGGCCCCTAGTCATCTGATAACAGCATCAAGTTACACAACCCATGTGGTAAAATACTCAACATTTTTGCAGCTTATTGCCTTTAAGGACGTTATTTCTGTGGGACTTAAGGAAAATTTAAAATGGATATAATTTATCTATATTAAAATGTTGAAAAGTTCCTTTCTTCTTGCTTTTACTTTGTATGTTGTTTTGTTTCTCTTACGGAACATCAGATTGTGTATTTCACATCTCACTATAGAGTCTTACATGTAGATCTGTAAAATCTATGGACAAATTTTAATGCTGAAAAACAACAAGTGCTAATACAACTCTTCTAACCAGAGAATCAGTGAAAATAATGATTTTCTTCCCAAAAACTTTTATTGGACACAAAATTTTAACAAATGGCTACAATTCAGTAATTAACAGGTTTCAGACCCTGAATTGGGTAATATTGATTAATGCACCTTTTTATATGCCTGTCATTCTCCATGACACTTGGTAAACTTCATCTCCACAACACAAAATTGTGTTTTTGTTTCCCCATCCCTTATATCTTAAAAGGGGGAAGGTGTAAAGTGTGTGTGTGTGTGTGTGTGGGGGGGGGGGGGGATTTAAATAAATTTATTTCATCTTGCACTTAGACAATGATCACACTAGACAATGTGTTGATACAATATATTAGTTTGAGTGGATTGTTATCGATAGCATGCCAACAATACACGCACGCTATCACTATACAAATATGTAGTAATAAACCAGACAGTGGAAGCCTAGTCAGTTCACACTCTCAGATCACACACAGATCCATCTAAGTTCTAGTCAGATATCACAAGTCACAAATAGCCATTGTAATAAGCATACCAACTAATCACCAGAACTTATATTAAACAGTCTGCTGAGGTGACAAATCTAGAATCAAAGCTCTAGGATACCGATCCATTGTCTGATATAATAGCGTGGAGCTTGTAGGGTGGAGTGAAATTAATCAGACTTTGTACTAGTCGGCAGTGACTTGTTTACATTTGATATGACGTGATACACTTGTCATACTGTTTACAATATGAATATGACAAGACAATAACCTATTAGCAAAAGCTATAATTCTTTTCACAATGTATTTTTTATGTGTCCACACATTAGATACAGCTAGGAAGTTGGCAAAAATACAATTCTCTCAAGCTTGCAGTCACCTATTTAGTGGAGAAGATATCTGGACATTACATATCACTAGTTTATTAATATCACTGTGTAGTTAGTTAATGCTTGCTTAACAAAAGTTAATGTCTGAAAGTATCAAGAGAAAGAGGGGGGGGGGGTTTGAGATTGAATGCATCATATATATCAACAATTTCAAGACGAAAACATCTGTGACGAATCTAATTTTCAAAATACAATCTAGTACAATAGCAACTTTCAGCCTTGCTTTCAGGTACAAATTTAAGAAAATTTCACATTTAAATGATTGTGCATATATCTACAAAATTTTATCTAGTGTAGATCCATGATGTGATTCTTTAAAGTCTTTAAATCACAAAATTTACTAGTCATCCTCAAGAAGGAAAAAAGATGTTAAAGAACACACTCTCCATCTGTTATGTGCTAAAAAGAAATGTGATTTTTTTGTTCCTGTTCTGTTAACTGTCACAATGAGAAAGGGCACTCCTACAATATTTATAAGACTATGACTATATGTGAATATTACTATAGAGAGAACACTTGGTTTGAATAAAAAAAGGTCCATCTGTTTAAAGCCAATTCCTCCCAACCAAAAATCATGTATTTCTGTCATATTCAACCTTATTATTTTCACAATATTAATCCAAAAAATATCAAAGGTGCAGATATTTTCTACAATATGACACGGATGGAACTTCCTTCTCATGTATAATTAAGAAACAAGTAATAAGCAGTGATGAAAAATGTAAGGAAATATTGTACATCAATGTTCTTAGCATCTGTAATATTTGTGATGTTGCTAAATGCCCCGAATTCCACTCTGATTACAGATTTTAGGGGCCTTACAATAATTTACTGCTGAATGATCACCACCTGAGAATGAGATTCAGTAAACTAGTGTGCTGTTGTACAATAATGAGGTACTAGTCAACAGTGTCCATGAACATCAATTGGTGTCATTACAATTATTACACTTTAGTTGCACCCTTTATCAATCAGAAAATAACACTAAGGAAACAACTGATTTTAGACATCATCTATCCAATCACAATTTCCCATACATAGTTTTCTTGTAAATTAAATCCAAACCAAACATTAGAAGAACAATGTTCAATGATTAAGATCATGATTTGATAATAAATTTACAAATACAACAGGTACATTTTCTATTTTGCAACTATAAAGGATGAAATATATTTAAGGTCAAAAATAAAAGTGGTACATATTTCAAATTTTGATACCTGAACAAATGTGACTATGTTAACATTTCATAAATTGTTGACACAAATTTAACACCTGTATTCATGCATGCATCTAAGTAATCAAGAAAGTTTAACCCTATCCCATGCTTTACCTAGCTACTGTATCTCACTATAAATTCATCAAACCTTACCTCCGGTGACTATGTAGAAAAACCAGATCTCTTTAACAAATCTGCTACCTAACTTAACATAACACAATAATGTAACTTCCTATATATTTACTTAATAACAATTAAAGCACATTTTTTCATCAAGCAACATTTTTAAATGTAAGAAATATTGTCTACAAAAAAGTAACATCTATCATTTTCAAGATTATTTTTAATTCAATTGATACGAATCTTATGCAAAATGGTGAAGAAATTGCCACAGAACATTTCCCAACCATAACTATATCATATAGATGCAACAAAGTTCAAGTTTCCTGAAACTTGAACAAACCTTAACAATTCATTTCACAAACAAATTGAAATGACAAAGATATACGCATTACAAAATGGCAAAAGTACAAATAAAATGAAAATAATGAAAATGATGGAAAAGGTGATGATGAAGGTGATTAATCCCCCAGATAAATCCAACTTTCTTCAACCACTGCTTTAACTCTCTTTTCATATTCACGGCGGTTTTCCCGATACAGTTGGGCCGCAACATTATTTGCAGGACTGTTAGGATTGGGTTCATCTAACAAAGACTGAAAGGAATAGAAATAAAGGTAATGCCTTCTGATCATGATTCTTTCTTTTTTGATTTGCTTACTACCTTAGATTCTCTGATCCAAATTCAATGGCATTGTCTGGTATAGCATCTAAAGGATTGCACTGTTCATAAACTAAAATGTTCAAAACTTTAGATCAGAAATTGGAAAGAAACAGAATAAAATTTTAACAGGTCTGTTATGAAAATTTTCCTTTTAATAACAAATTGGTTTGTAAAATTAGTGTCAATCAAAGTTTTCCATCTGCAAATACCAATAACAGAATTTCAATATAAGACTGTATTTACTCCAAAGAAGCAAAATTTCAGTGACGTATTGTCCTGTCTAGGTAGAGAGACACAAGACATTCTAATTAATATTGTCCACTGAGATTAGGAGAACAATTTAGAATTGTGGCTCATGGAATTGTACACACCATATGCAATATCGCTATCACAGGTTCTTTGTTTTGGCAATTCCATGACTTCAATGTAAGTCTTGTACATAAACTTATCATGGAATGGCAATTTTTCCATCAAAATTCATGACATATAACGATGCTGCATGGCAATTAACGATCAATTTTTCAAACAAACGGAAAACAACACGAAAACAACACAATGAAAAAATAAGCAGATAAAACAATAAATAAAATAACCGTAAAAGAAAACTACATATCCGTATTAAGTTCACTGCGATACTGATATATAAAGGACATCCTCAATAATATTTAATATAGTTCCAGGAACCATTCTGCAATATATATGATTATATCTATAAGACATGCTAATTCCTTTCTTAAAAACATTAACATGTGCAGATACTGAAATGAAAAAATCTTAAATGTTGGCAAATAACTGTCCTCCTTCACGCCAACAGTTTACTCAAAAAAAACACTTTCAATTTCAAAAAGGAGGGGGGAAAAGGCCTCCAAAATCAGCATATGTTTCTCAAAATGAGAACATATCTGTAAGTTGCACAAATTAAGTTTTTGTTTTTATTTTTCATGAAATGCTACGATTTCTTATCAGGTTCCTCCTCATCTTCACTATCGGATGTCCAACTTTCTTGAACTATAGATTGAACTTTTTTCTCATATTCCCGACGATTTTCCCGATACAACTGTGCAGCCTCATTGTTTGCAGGGCTATTAGGATTGGGATCATGTAGTAAAGACTAAAATATAAAAGAAATTACAGTTATTGTTATAGGAATGGCCGCACTACTAACGCGATATGCAAATATCAGGTACATTTTTACAGATTAACCCAAGAAATTAACTGCAGGGTTCTATTGCAAATTTATAAAACAACAACCAAAACCTCAAAAAACAAAATAACATTAAATGGCTTTAAAGTAGCCATGAACAATTTCCTATGGTGTCAGAGTCAGCTTGTAGGATATAAAATGATTTTCAGTATGTAGATTTAACATAAAGTTTTCAATAAAACAAGTCCACTATTGGCACTGAACTCACTTTTGAAAGGTATTAACAGTAGAAAACAGAATTGGCAGTGACAGAATTCTACACTATCATTAGTCAAGTTGCTAACACCATCACCCCTCCCTTTTTCTCTTATATCAGTCTATGTTGTTGTCTGGAAAAATTAACGCAGCAAAAAAATTGCATCTGCTGTATCTTATCCTCAATGTTGCTTTTTAAGTCTTTCATGAAACAACTCCATGATTCAAATTGATACACATCTATCATAATTACCTTTTTAGAATTACATGATTAATTGCAACACAAATGTTTTCTGTAAACACTTCAATTCTCAATTCATAAGGTGTATTTCTGATAATATTATACAGTTATACCCAAATCAAAGTGAATTGTTTCAAGTTCTGGTAGACTGCTACTCACCTGTATTGAGGTTAATATGGCAGAGGCATCATATGTTGGACTCCATCTATTTTGTAGAATATCTAAACATATACTGCCATCTGCATAGACTGAAACAATGTTTCAAAATCATAAATAATCTTACAACAAAAAAGAATGGACTCATTATACCAAAATATTTACAATCAGATGTATACATGTACCATAGACTGAGGTATACACATGTAAACATCTTTAAATATAATGCTGGATTCTAATTTTTAATTGTAGGTTTTTGTTCAAGCATAGATCAGGATTTTATTATTTCAGGTCATCAAAATGCTTTCATCCACACATAATGAATACATATGCAAAACAATCATCATTAATTATTCAAACATTCCAACAACATTGACCTATTGAGGAAACTTCAAAATTTAATTTTGATTTCCAACTTTCATTTATAACATGGGTTAATATTAAAATAGGAGCATCAATATATATACCAAAAAGAATATTTCAATTGTATTTCTTTCTTTTTGATTTAATGAATGAAACTAACAGTAAGTTGCAGTACATGAACCCTGAAGGAAATACCACTGATCTGATCAAGTTAATGTATTTTATATTGTTGTTTTCATTTTCTCCTAAATTTTCATGATTTAAAGCACAAATCATTGATCATATTTTTTACATTTAATCTTTTAAAGCTGACAGTGCAAAGTAAAAAAAAAATCACATGAGATTTGAAAATTTTTTTTTTTGAAATGCAGCATTTTCTGAGATGTTCTATGAGATGACCATATCCTCTAGTCTGATCTTTTAGAATAAATTCCTATGTAATGACATTGATTTTTCAGTGAAATCTGATCCTATCCCTTATGCAATAATGTGGTTTTTAAATACATTTAAGACACTGTTATCCATACATATTACTGTACTTCAAATAGGGTGACACAGGGGTCACATTCATTCCTTGGCCCCATCCATAATTATCACAGCCATCATGATAGGTACCATATGCACAGATACAAATATGAATGACTTCAAATCAATCAAAAGCTGAACTGTTTGATATCACTTCATCATATGTTCTCATAGGTCTTTGCATTTACTTACCATTTGGGTGAAACATTTTTGATACAAATCGAACTGTTGGTGGTTTATTAGGATATTCCTCTGTGAACTCTACTGTTAATTTAAAAGTTCCATCTTCAAAGGGTGTATCATGTGGCCTGAAATGAATCAATTATGAAAATCATTCAAACTCAATTACAATGCATCCATTCTAATACCGAACAGAGAATAACAAACGAAAATTCACCATTGACTATTCTCAACTGAACATAAATTCCTTGTATTAATTTGACAGGGTCCAAGTTTATTGGCTTTCAGTGTGATATGGGGTCTATGTATTTGGTAAGTGAGTTCATTGTTTTTGAAAAGTACTTATGTAGTGGCTTTGAATAACAATGCCCCAGAGCAGTTTCTTGACATTTTGATGAGGATTCAATTTGCTGAGCAACTTGCATTTTGACAGTGGAGAAAAGTCATGGGTTGGTTTGTGTGCGACAATAATGGCTCACCATGCCACATGCTCTAAACTCAAGATATGGGTAAATCTGTACATCCTGAGAGGGATAAAGCACATTAATACCACTGAGTCACGGTGGTGATTTTTTTTCAGAAAATTCAGAGAATTATTTCTGATTTCATTTTCTTTTTCACCAATAATTTCTTGTAACATTTGGTCTCGCATTCCGCCATGGCCACTATGGCACATGTGTTGCATTACAATTAGAACCTCTATCAAGACCTAAAGTCATCCGGTTTGTTACTTACTGCGGTTTACTTCAGTTAAAAAACCAGAAACTGAAATTTAATGACTTATTAAAGCAACCATTTACAACAGCTTCAATGTATTCGGAGCCAATTGATGGAAAGATTTATTTTGGAATTTCAATTTAACCATCAATTCATGTTGCCAAACACAATTATGCATTTCCTCTTGGATACATGACTAAATAATTAAAATTAATAAGTAAGCTTACACTGAAATGTACGAATATTGAACACATGCCAAATCAAACAATGCATTAGAAGGTTCCAACAGCTTGTTGAAGAACTCGAACTTACCCAAATATAACAGCGTTCCATAGCATAATATTATTATCTGTTGGTGCACCACTAACGCCAGCAGGTGGATCTTCTTGTAATCTATAAAATCGAAAGAGAGCGATATCATAAAAGACATACGTAGATACTTATGCGTATCATATTTTCAGCAGTATCAAAACATTTATGAAGTAGCCATTTTGGATATCATCTGCTACAATTTAGACAGGAATACAACGAAATATAAGGCCATACCTTTTGAAATCACGCATGAGGCGTCTTCTTGCTGGTGTTGACATTTTTTGTTAAAAACTGAAGAAATATAATCACAGATTCTTCCTTACAAAAGTACTTTTCGTCAACAAAGTGGTGAATGTTTATTATGTGACTATGACCTCTCCATCTGTGACGTTAACATCCGGGTGTGTTGTCGATTCGGAATTACCTTCTCATCGGGACTCATCTAGACCAATCGTTATGCCAGCTGAACGTTGTTCGATAAAGGAAAGAGAGTTCCTACTTGTGGGAGTTTCAGTGTCTATAAATAAAACTGATGAATTTTAGCATGTATTTGTAATAAAGATCCAGAAATTTCGATAGGCAGCTGGTTGTGGGAAGATCGGCATATGTATTTTTGCAACATTTTATTATTGTGTAAATGCACATGTAGATAGTAGAAGTTTATGTGAGCTAAATGCGAGACTTTATACGGCTTATTTTTGAGGGGAAAGTCTATTACCAGTTAAAATACTGCTATATATTGAACATGTGTGTGATGGTATAAAAGACCAATCCGGCTTCAGGAAGTCATAATATTTAGATGTATATGTAACGAAAGTGTTCTATATAATCGACTCTGATACAGAATTTCACACGAGTATTTAGGTTCATTCACTGGACAAGTCTCACTAGACCTACAGACGTCTCTCCATATTAGTGCGTCGAGTCCTGTAACTGTTTCAAATCCTCTTTAGAAATTAGATATTTATATCAACTATATACTGTAGTGCTAGCGGAGATACACTCGTCTGTTGGAAATATCAACAGCGGGCCCCCATCAATGAAGTATCATGAGTGGTACCACTTGTGTTTTTATCGACGATAACGGGATTTAGTGTTAATAATCATCGTACACCAAAATACGGGGAGGGAAGAAAGAGGAGCGAGAAAAAGAATAAGGTATACAACTGTAGACGAACAGGGAAAATACACATTCCTGTCGAGTGCCCCGACCAGGAATCGAACCCTTTTACACAACAACGGAACCAACAGACAAACTAACTTTTTATCAAACACTCCCAGCTTCATACCGCATAAGGAAACAAAATATTTCTCAGTGTGATCACTATGACCATCGTACAACTTCCCAATATTTTTCACCAACCCGCATCCTCCGAAACCCTGCGTTACGGGTTTGAACTTCAGCTAACGACTTCTTGCACTAAAATAGTTATACATATAACGGGAACACGGCCTTGGAAAATATTGAATCATCAGCGAAATGTAAACACCATATGATAAGTTTGGAATGGAGCGGGAATGTTGCTATCCAGAAATGGAAATTTTCGATAATGAAATTGAAATCATCAAGCTTATCATACAGCCTATTGGGAAGCTGTCCATGTTGGTTTCGTTGTAGGAAAGATGAAGATGGGCGGCCGATATAGGAGAGTCTGTCGTGTCATTGATTTACGATGGACGTGGTCAGTAAATTTCTTGTCAATTAAAGACAAGACATCATCAAAATATCTGGAGGTGAAATTGATGTTATAACCAGAAACTCGACCATTTTATGATTTCGTCCTCTGGGTATTTCTTACTTGATTTGGATGTATTTTCCGTGAATGTGTTTCACTATAGTTTACAACCATATATTTGTACCGCCGCTCATCTCGTCCATATATCTTTCATAACATCAGAACAAAGACGTCCTTTCAGTTTAGAATGGGGTATGTCGGTGTACAGAGTGTTAAAATCAAATGTTCTTACATAGGGATGTCTTTAAGAAGAGGGCCTTTAAAATTGGTCGAAAGCTGTCCGGAGTTCTTAAAACCCATATACTATTAATTCCCCTACTTGTGTAATCGGTATCACAAAAAGATTGTAACCAAGATTTAATCTTACTAAGAATTGAAGTTAATAGTTTTGACAAAATGGTTGGTTTAATACCTAGACGAGCAAGCAAGAAAATGTTGTTTACATGGATTCTTGTGAAGTTTAGGAATCCAGTATAAACGGGGGAGGTCCGTATCCTTATCATTTATAGGAAATCTGAATTATTGCAATGCTAGAGCATGATTAGCAAGTATTTCTCCTTTGTAATGATTATAAAACATGTAGATGGCGGTTATCATTATCAAGCAAGCCTAGTTCTTTTTGTATACAGGAAATGTAATAATGTTTGCAGACAACAAGGAACACGTTAATGGACGCCATATCTGCGGACACACTTACCTATTTGTCATGTAAATTTTGAAGTGTGGATATGACATTAGGGTCGAGGAACGCTGACTTGTGTTTTGTATTCTTTTTCGATTTCAAACTACTACTTCTTTTTAGAATGATGGACCGAATGGATTTAACCCACTCTGAGAGTGAACCTCCAAGCGGATCGTCTATCAATGCCCTGCTGAAACACTTTAAGTAAACTTTTCCGTTTTCCCTCAACTAATTCAGGGACTGTGACGTACGCGTATATGATAGAAACATTGCACCCCTTGTATCTTTCGTTAGTTACTTTTCAAAAGCTACCAAAGATACTCTCTTAACCTCGGGTTTGTTTTGTTTTTTTCTGTCTATTAAAAAATAGTAACTGTCAAAATTCAAGATGGCCATTTTATGACCATTTTGAATTTCTGATCAGTTGCAAAAAATGACAATGCACAACTACAAATGTAGTTACAAAATCAATCAAAGTACTGAAAGTACTGAGAGGCTAAACGTATTGAAAAATGTTCACAAATAACCGCAAAGCTATATTACTTTCTCCATACTCCTACACTTTGGAATGCAAAAATTACTAAAATAAGAGAACCAGAGGCTATTTTCCTTAATTTTAAGCGATTTTACATCTTCTTTAATTCTTATTTCAAATTTGACGACAATAATGTGAACAAATCAAAATAGGTAAAAAAAAAACAAAAAACAAAATAAACACAACCATATATTCATCGCCAACAAGCCAAATGATAAATAGCTCTATGATGAAGTTGACTAAATAAAACCTTTGAAATCCCCAAGATGTTGCAATTACTATCCTATCTATGTGAGGATTAATACAAATCGAAAGGACTTTATACCTACTTCTTTATTTTAAATGTATTGCAAAGTAATAGTCCTTACTTATTATAATTATATTTGTAGTTGAGGAAAGTAGATAAGGTGTACACAGCATTTCAGATAGATAAAAGTGTAAATAATTACATTCAATGTATTTACATGCCTATCTTCCTTGAAGTACCATGGTTAGATTTTTATTCCAGTAATTATATCAATAAAGACATAGTTCTATGAGATTAAACTAGACTTCCATATATATACAAAATTTACAATATTTTCACTATAGCTACTTTATACTATTTCTGATCTTCAATGCATTAGATAATGTCACCATGACACGCAAAATGAATAAATATGTTATGGAAATATTTCGTTCTAGTTAATTGATAATTATAGACATGAATATTTTGTTGTTTTTTTTTTATACGCGTTTTGTTTGAAGGAATATTTCCATTTCAAGGACCTTTGATACACATTAACAAATATTGAGAAATCAGCACAATCAACCTTCATCAAATAAAACTAAAAGACAAAAATATAAGGTATAACAGAGTCAACATCATGATCAGTACAGTATTGAAAATATATTATTCATAAATCATGAGCACCAATGTACCTTGCCTCCGAATCGCAAACTTTTTATCTTCAAAAACTTGAAAAAGTGTCATGGTGGTGGGTGTGAAAAACCTGAAAAAGTGTCATATCGGCGGGTATGCGCGTGGGACGAAGTCAAATTTTGTGACGTCTACTGTGGTAAAGTTATGCTATATATTAAGACGATCTTGCTACAACGACAAGGATTAAAGCAAAATTGATGTTCTGTTTGTAAGTTTTGTTTGTTTATAAGTGCTGTTAGTTAATAATTCAAACCAAGCCCCAAGACTAGCTTCTTATCATGGCGCCAACTCACACGTACAGTGTTCTGTACGCTTACGTCATGTCGGGAAGGATTCATAAGCCGCCATACAGTAAATGCACTGTAAATCAAGTCACGCAGTTACAATAAACTTTGAAGATACAAGAAACCCTTTTTTTGCTTACTTATGGCAGAGACGTATCACTGCTTACGGTTAATATGGTTGTTTTCTAGGAATATTCACAGCAGGCGATAAGAATCACGTCAGCTCGATATTCTTCAACAGCACAGGTCGGGGATGTCCGTGAGCAAATTCCGTAAAACATATTGTTCAAAAGTTATCAATAGTTCAACCACACTGTGCTTCTTTTTTTAAATATATAGTAATCGTATTGTTATTAAAAAACAAACTTATTGTGGATGCTTTTAAAATAGCGATTTAAAAGATCGCGGCATTATTTACGCAGTAAATTGCCGCTAGAGGGATCTAACTCTTTTCGATATTTCAGCCAATGAGAAGGCCAGGATCGGTAAGTTTTGTCTGAAAGACCGTCCGATAGGCTGTACGTACCGAGTACGTTTAGCCTAAAAAGAATACAAGGGGCAGGGACGTATATATACGTATATATACGTCCCTGCATGGGGCCATGGGTAATCTACACATGAAAGGGATAAGAGTGCTTTACAAAAAATTGTGACAACAAACTTTAATTTTCAAACTTCAATATGGCTGCCTGTCATACATGTTATTTTTCTTATCAGTCTCAATGCTGAAAAGACTACCAAAAATTTCCTAATGTGACCATTCCAAGTCCCACTCTCAATGGTGGAAGTCCAACATTCAATGTCACTTTTTATTAGAAACAAATTCTTTGATGCCTCGTACTTAGAAACCATTTTATAACAGCATAACAACCAGTGACAACACAATTTACACCTGTATTGACTTCACCACAAATACACTAGAAGCTGGAATCATATACAGCTGAAACTTGTCTTGAAATCACTTGAGTCGAAAGAATTTTCAAGTCCCGATTTTTTCTCTTTTATATCTAAATTTTCGGTTGAATCAAAGTGATTTTTCAGTCCCTTCAATTGTAAAGCATGGGAAAAGTCATTCGTTGTGTGGAAATTAATTTTTGTCCAAACATCGTCATGTCTTCTGACGAAATGGGTCAATACATACACCAGGGACCCTGCATACACAGAGTAGAAAGTCACCCGTGCGTAACACATGGCTAATTATGGCATATCTCTTATTCAGATTGTACCAGTGTTTATTCCAACTATCATTAATCCAACATCAAGCAAAGTAATTACTGAGGTAGCAATAGTATTATTGATTTTGAAGGCCAAACTACAGGTTTTGTCATTATTTTATGCAGGGGAGCACAGGGGAATTAGAAGAAAATGACTTGCATTTTCCTAAGACACCAGTTACTATATACCACTGTGTCTAGTGCATATAACATGTACCAGTAAAGCCATATAGTCGAAACACATTATCTTATAATCAGCGGGACCATGGGAAAACTTTGAGATAGCCAAGCATTCAAGTTTGAATGTTTTGTGTAAAGTTTGGCAGAAAACAATCAAATGCTTTGAATTAAACAGGTCTTCAAGTTATACAAGTTTAAGATAACACTACATCAGTAAAGTGATAGTTACAGTAACAGAGATAACAAACAAGAGCTTAAATAACTAAATTGCACTTTACTACAACATCGTTTTTCACTTCTTAATAACAAAATTATATATAACATAATAAAACAGCAGAAATGAATGTCATTTAACACCTTTCAGAGAAGACCAGTGCTGTAATGATAAAGCATTATACAGCAGTCCTTTTCATCAAGTACACAGTCATGCAAAATGTTGGGTCATTTATTTTAGGTCATGGATCAGATGGAGAAAATTCTGATTTGTTCTAAGAATCAAACTTTCTAATCAAAACTGAGAGATTTTTCAAACATCATACAGAAATGGTGCACAGGTAATGAGATTCTCTTGTTAAAGGTGGGCTTGTCAAGTAACATTAAAAAATCAATGTTACTTTCAAGTTTTGAAGATACTGATGTCAATAAATATAACCTGCATTTGGTCGCACAAACATACAATCAATTTTTCATTAAAACTAAAATCTGATCCTCATTATGATGTAAACATTTCTACATACTTGTACATGATTAGTATAAATCAAAATCAGTTTGAGCGATTATGTTATCAAGCACAGAGTATACACTAATAGCAAACAATATACCTGTGTACCACATGTAGGAAAAGTGCAGGGAATATCATCATGGCAAGATGGAATTAAATTTGAGATACATTTTAATAAATCATTTCTCTGTCACAGTTTCTGTGAGCAGACAATGTTTTAGAACTAAAAAGACAGGTTATAAGTCATCAAAATTTGGATATTTATGTTTCATATGTAACTGTAGCTATAACTGGGAACTAATCTAGAATAAACTATACCTGTAGGCAGTATCAGTGACTGGGAACTAATCTAGAATAAACTATACCTGTAGGCAGTATCAGTGACTGGGAACTAATCTAGAATAAACTATACCTGTAGGCAGTATCAGTGACTGGGAACTAATCTAGAATAAACTATACCTGTAGGCAGTATCAGTGACTGGGAACTAATCTAGAATAAACTATACCTGTAGGCAGTATCAGTGACTGGGAACTAATCTAGAATAAACTATACCTGTAGGCAGTATCAGTGATATTGATCATTGTTATGACCATTGATTCCATGTGATGGTCAAAACTTTTATAATAGAGAATGCATTATTGACCAATAAAAAAATAACATATCAGAAGCAGCAAAAGAATGGAATACAGATGATAATATTTAGGGCTTTTCATAGTTTCCAGTTTCTTTTTACATGTACGATAAAAATTATCAGGAGAAGGATAACTAGTACACTATAGTCTGTAATAAAGAATTTCTGGTATCTGGTAAAATTGTAATCAAACTATACTTCATGTAACCATTTAATTAAAGTTAGGTCTAACGATAATTTTAATGAGTATGATGGAAATCCAATGAAGCATTATTCAGGTATTGCTGTTAATTTTTCATTACATGTATTATCATAAGTATTGGTATCAGAAAAAATAAAGCACTTGTTTATACTGAGTGTTCAGCATGTTATAAAGGATACACTACTCTACATAAAGTTATATACAGGGAAAATAAGTAACAGGCTTACCAAGCATTACATTTTATAAATGTATTAAATCTATGTAAAAGCTAACAGCCATTTTTATACACAATGTACATATCTACTACATGCATGTATAAAAAAAAATAAATAACACAAAGGCTACATATTGAAATAAATACAATTAATTAATAATTCCATAATAAATGGCAAGTATTGACGATGCTCTAAATTCTAAAATTAAATTTTTATATTCCTTATTCAATTTTTTCGCTATTTAAGTGCCAAACTATTTCAATATTTCCAAGACTCTGGATGACACAATGAATGCATAATAAGATTTCTTTTTAAAAATTCTTTTTCAGAAATGAGATTTTAAAGGAAGTAATGAAACTGTACACATGCAACTTTGTTAGTAAACCACTGCCACTGGCAAGTATATTACTCACTAATTAGGTAAAGCAAACAATACATCAATAACTGTGAAAAGAGAATTATTTTCTCACATTCTGAGAAGGACTAGTGTACCTGCTCAGCAGATTAAGATTAAAGATAATGAAATTAAAAATAAAGTCAATACATCCATTCACTTCATTAACATACCTTAAATCAACATGTAAATGATATGCATTACAATATGAAAACATGTTATGACAAAGTCCTCTTTTCCTTTCTTAAGTACATATCAAGTGCTATGCACATATAACAGTCTTGAGATTTTAAATGTATATACTTAACACCTGTACAAGACAGGTACCACAATGACAATGCTGTATTGTCAAAATATTTGAGACAGATCATAGAAATTAAACGTATAAATAACAAAAGATCTATGGATCTTAATATGAAAATATATAGAACCCTATTTACTCCATCAATAAACAATTAACTCAAAAGGATTTAAAATAAATACTCATTGTGAATTTAGACAGAAAGACCTATTATAGTAAATACATTTTCTTGCACTATGAAACTATCGATGAACAAACTATTAAATGAGTTTCTGGCTAGTAATGTTGGATTAGATAGAACATATACAAACAATAAAATCCATGTTACAGATCTTAACTTATAAGATGATATTGAAATAAACGAGATATAAAAAGTATAAGGTATACCAAATACAGTTAATAGCATGAAGATTGTACTGTGATTTAACAGTCTTATAATGGACTTGTGAAGAAAACTAGAAGCACACGTAGCACCTTAATAAAATAAAATACTTCATTTTAAACAGAACATTTATCCAGATTGTCTCTCATATTATTTGCTAATAAATAAAAATTGCTTACTTCACAACTATCATAAATAATGACCTTATTTGAATAAATGTACTCCAAAACATGACAGGAAAATCAAAAAGATTCCTTAGATTTCATCATAAAAAAACAAAAGTAGACAGTGATACTGATGATTTTTATCAATTTTGATGTGTAATAAGAAAAAGTTTCTATCCGTTTGTTTTACAATCTAGGTACTACAAACTATCTGATTGTTGTGGTGAACACTTATTCCTTGATCAATCATAATTGTGCTATATGGAACTGTAATTATACTATGATAAACCATTAATATGCTTTAATTAAAGCTAACACTGTAACCTTGAACACATATGAAGATTATGTTGACTGAATTTTTTCCTTTGCTTTGATGTAGACTCATGGTCATTTCACCACCTGGCATGGCAGTCAGCATTCCAAACAAATTCAAACAGTACTATCAAAACTAAAAAAATTATCTATCAATTCATACAAAAACCTACAAATTAGGCAGAATCATTAAATCTTATTGAAAATTATCAAAACTTATTCTTTTAACTTTCGACTGATTTTCCTATTCATACAAATGTAATTTTTATTGACATGATGCCAGTTTGATTCAAATCATCAAGAAGACGGTATTGAGAAAGAATGGAATGTAATGAGTTCACAGGATGAAAAAGATGATTGGACTTTGGTGATCCAACAACACTGCTAATTTAAGTCTAAAAGCTTCCTCAGGACCTTTCAGATAAACAGTGACATACCACATCCTCCAGAAGAACTGAAAAGCAGTGTTAATTTCAGATATCCTGATGAAACATGTGAGAATAATTTTGGGCACTGTAAGTGTATATTCATGCCTTTGTAATTCTTACACACGGTGATCTGTAAGTGTGAGGAACTGATAACCAAATCCAATTCTCTGTTACAAAATACCACTGACAGTCCTCAGACCAATTTCTACTATTAAAATTGCCCAAAGTTGATATATAAGTTGTTTATAAGCTATATGATAGCATGGTGATTTTGATTTCCCTATCGTGAATTTTCCATTTCTAGACAGTATAACCCCTGATAACACAATCTACATTCTTTAATGAGCAGTTGATTCAATATTCTATGGGGTGTTTCCAAACATCATGATTCACAAAAGATGTTGAAGACTGAGGAATTAAAACTTCTAACAATGGGTCTCAAGAGCTGAAAATTAATGAAGATTAGAGAGAAGTGTTGTCACCACTATCTTTTATGTTTTTATGTTCTAGTTCTATTGCTTGTGTGTTTTGAAGCTGGATGTGTTCGTTGTTATGTTGGTCGTTTTAATTCTAACTTTGTTCTTATTTGAGAATATTACATTGTTTACTTGTATTGGCGAAATTTTACACGGTGGGTTTCATCAATGAATCAGAAGATGCTTACCATTTCCCAATACATGGTCTTAATTTTTTCCTTGTACTTTTTCAAGGCTATCAGTGTAAAAATACTTTTCATTCAAATTTAACTGCAGTTTCTTCAATATTGAGTTTGTTATCGTCCACAAATTCAAACTACCAATAAGAACAGTGGAAGTATAAACATGTAGGACCTTATTACTCATACAGACATTTGCATGAGAAACAATTTATCTATGGAAAATAGAATAGAATTTTATAACTGATATGTATGGCTATTTAGCACCTTATTAAAAGTGTAAAATGATATTTGCTCTGGAATTTGGAATGAGAAATCTTGGTGTAAGGATTGAAAAGTTTGATTGCTTTTAGTATATGTCCACCACTGTTCAGTGAAAGTGTATCACAATTCATAAAACAAGGAAACTTGGAGGCTACATCATTACAATGTAATATTCTCTCTCAAACCTCAAAAGCACTGTATGTATTAATACTGTGAAGACAAAAACCAACTTTATGATCATCAACTCGCAACGTTTTGCTCACAATTACAAAAACAGTATAGTAAGTGTTCAACATCTAAATAACATTTCATCCCTGACAAATGAGAAGACAATGTTATATTGCAGGCTTAAAACTTTGTGTAAAGTCATGAAGATGAATTGTGACATCACGAACCATGGGCATTGGAAATTGAATCCACGAAAAGAATCTCATATGCCTGCTGTACAGAGAGAGAACTATAGTGTTCAAGTGCACTGGAGCTGTCCGTGGAATTCTTGTAGTTATTATTAACTCCCTGGGTGATTCTATCATGATTCAGGCACAGTAAACGTTTTGCATCAGGGCTACAATAGCCATTTGTTAAAGGATCAGGCAGGCAACTGTTGCAGGCACGGTCCTGTGCTGGACCTACAAAACACACAAAAATATCCATATATACACCAAGGCTTCATTACAGCAAATCATCAGTACGGGAACCTTTTTTATCGTAAACAATAACAATTTAGATAACTAGAACCAATTAATGACTTAACGTCAAATTAAGGTAACATCAGTATGCATTATGTATGTAAAGTATGTCCTTTCAATAGACTTATCTCTTACCGAAAAATATAGCTTAATTCACAGCCTTCAGATGACATGCTGAGGTGAAAATATTTAATTTTGTAAGCAGATAATTTATGTAACATATCAACAGTAATGTACCTAAACTTGGATATCAGATATCAATATAAAATTTCATTATACACTGAACATGTATGTGAGAAACAAAATCCTAGAATATGTGTGGAGTCCATTTGTAATTTAAAATCATCGCCCAACAACTTTGTTCTGCAAGCTTGTTAAACATCACTTTATCATATTCATAGCATTTCATATAGAATATAATATATGAACAATTCAATACAGTAATAACTACGTAAACTTAGCAAGCAAAGTACAACAAGACAACTAAGATCTCTAGAATTACTTTCAGTCAGAAAATAAAACAAAACAAATGAGACACTTACTGTACATGCAGAAAAATATGTATTATATTTATACGGACATGGACATGTCAGAAGATGGCAGCATTGACAATTCTGTTTTCATCATATCAAAGATTAAACACACAAAGAAAAAATAATCATACTTATAACTGATAATGAAAACAAAACAAAGACAGGAAATAAAAATCATACAAAAAAAATAATAAAAATGATGATACAGTAAGAAACCACAAAAAACCATTGCACCAAAGAAGCAGGAGACTAATGAAAATGACTAGGATATCTATGGGGTAAAAGCTTGTTCTGTAATTATACTAAACCCACCATCAGTCAATCTCCATGTACAAAAGTTGTCCAAAGCAGAATGGACCCAAGTTTTTCTTTTTTATTTCCATTCTTTCCCCCCCCCCCACCCCCCCAATCATTTTCTTTTTTATATTTTTTTTTCAAAGTTTCATGTCAACTTGTGCTCTGCAACATTCTGAATTTTGATATTAGTATATGCAATCATGCATGGCCATGCAGCTTTCAGTAAAAGACCTTGTATTCCATGAGTGAGCTACAAGCAGGGATATCCCACAGGTAATACCACATGGCACTATGACACATATTAACAGAGTGGGTGAATATACTTACATGTGCCAATAAAGTCATATATAATGAGAACTTAATGCCATGCATTTTGAAGGAAGTTCGTGAACTTTAATGGACACTGAATGATGATGGGTATGATGAGAGGTATTAGTGGTGGTTTCCCTTGGCTTTGAATCTTTTGTCTTTGGAGGGGAAATTAGACCATTCATTTGGTAACTGTCTGACATTGAGAACAAGGCAGCATCACTTTCATTCCAATGGCATTCTGAGGAAGGAAATGGAAACATCACCCGTGAGAGTATAAAATTTCATAATTGGTGTCTTCAATGCTCAACAACTAATCGTTTTTTACCTAGTTTTGTGATAGGGTTGGGTTTCCAAATAGTTTGATGTCAAATGTGCCAAACTATTATTATTTATTTGTACTTTTTGAGGCAGGAGTGACAATTATATGAGATATAATAGTTTATTGCACCTTCCTTTAACAACTGTGCATATACATTTGTGAAGTTGAGATTTGAAATATTATCATGACCAAATCATAGGATTAAACCATGTGTCAAATGGTGGACTGGGCCCTGACACAAAAACAAGACCATAATAAAAGGGCTGATTGATAAATTGTGAGCCTCATATTTAAGGTATGACATTTGCATTATTTTTTTACATAATTCCCTTCAGTATCTTACAATTTTGCCAGTGATGTTTAAGTGCCTAAATAGCACTTTTAGTAGATGTTCAATCAATTCAAAGCCAAAATCATTAATTGCAGCCTTGCAACTGGGGCATTGTCCTGGTGGAACAACACACCTTTACTGCATTTTCTGTGGCACTTGAATGTAATATTTTCTCTTAACTGTCTAAGAAGTGATGCATAATATGTGCCATTGACTGTTTGTCCCTTTTGCTGATAATCTACCATCAGAATACCATCAGCATCCCAGAAAACTGAGGCTACAACCTGTCCCTTTGATGGAACAGTCTTTGCTTGCTTTGGCAGGGGTGAACAGGTGCTTCCATTGTTAAGACTGTTGTGTGGCCTCTGGGTGAAATGATGGACCCATGTTTCATCCAGTCACAAACCTCTATAAAGGTTCAAATTAGCATGCAAAAAAGTCTGCCTTGTATGCTTCTGACCAACTGTAAGAAGTCTTGGTACTCAATGGACTGAGAGCTGTCTCACTGCACGATCTTTCATAAGAATGGAATATACTCTTTCCTATGAAATCTCAACTGCATTGGCTATTATCTCCTGTAACTCGCCTGTCAGCCATATTATCATGGACTTTGTTGACCATTTCTTGGATTGAAACAGTTACAAGTCTTCCAGGACAGACGTCATCTCCAAGGCTCTGCCTGCCAGACTTAAATTCCATTCTGCCACCCACCTTTTCACTGTAGCATATGAAGGGGCATCATTCCCTGTGTTGCTATTATATCAGTATGGATATCCTTAGGTGCTTGACCTTTCTTATGCAAATATTAATATTGAATCACTGCTCCTTCAGTGATTTTGTCATTTTGCAGGTCACTTGCCTTGTTTAATTAAGAGTGCTACCTCATCTCCATAAACTGACCAAATGACACCAGTCTTGAGGTACACAGCCTCAAATAGTTTCAGAAAAGTAGAGCTGAAAAAGGACATCCATGCTTCACTTCTTCAATACAAGGTTCACAACTTAGTGATCAGCACTTAATATCTTATTACTAGATATTGTGCAGAAGGTTATAATGAGAATCTCATCTGTTTTTATATACCCTGGTATCTGACAAGGGAACTCAGTTACCTGGGCCAGAGGGAAACAGTGAGAGAATCAGAAAAATCCTTCAGAATACAAGCCAACACTTAATGCTAGCACTGGAATGCATTGTTATAGGGCTGAGATCTGAACTCTTTCCACGATATAACTCCAAGAGTAACTTCTTAGATGCAAGGATGAGCCCTGCTTCTGACATGGATATCATTCTCTTCATATCCAACTTCAACATAAAAACAGCATCAGGGAGTACACATTCAGAATCTGTAATTGAACAACCTTGACCAAATAATGTTTTATAGAGCTTTAAAATCCTTTAAACTATGCTGATAACTACTCTGATATATGAAAATGTGTTCAGAGGCACCATAGTTTTAAAATTTCTTTTTTTTTCTTCTATTGGGTCTTGTAAAGCCATCCCAGTTAATCCTCAAATTGCAACCAATCCTCTTTTTTGATCTCACCACTTCTTCCATACTAACAGAGGTTAAGATTTTGAAGATTTCCCCTAATCCCTGTTTGGCCTCATTCTTTGCAGCCAGAAGGTCACAAATGTCACTTATACAAAAGCCAGTCCACTTGACCTGTTGTATTTTTACAGACAAAATCTGGTTCAAATCCTTGTTCAGAAGATATGTTTTATTTTCAGTTCCTCCATTGGGCCTAACCTAAGATTATTTTTGCCAGAGTATCATTGAACCTCAAATCAAATACTTGCTACTGGCCTATGATATTTGCTGCAGATGTATAAATGTTTATCCTTCAACTAGTGCTACGCATGTCAGAATACATCTTCCACATATAATTTTGCTGTTTTAGCAGTAACAGCTATATTTCAGCACGTGCATTAATTTGTCAAAATACCTGAATCATTTCAGTATTGTGTTTGGATATAGAAATGTTAGAACAAGACAATTCAGTGATTTACAGACCCCATCAACAAACCACTGCATCTCAACAGGGTGAACCAATACACAGCATGTAAATTCTAAAGACAAAAAATGTGGGAGAGGGAACCCTGACCAACATTTCCTTTAATGTAGGTCAAAGGTCACAATGTAGATCAGAATGACTTCCTTTCGATACTTGACACACCACTTTGTTAAAGTGAACCCATACCCCAAGTATTAAGTTAGTTACAGTGACAAAATGTGAAGGAGGCACGACAAGATAATGGAAGGACAGAGAGACACAACATAATGCTGTAGTCCCCCTGCTTCCTGATGGGAAACTAAAGAGCAGTTTAGTTTATTGCATTGACCATGCAGACAAGAGTATTAGAGACACTGATGAATGCTTTCCGAAAACTACTTTATTGAACACAAAATTTTAACAAAGGCTATAATTCTGAAATTAAGTGGTTCAGGCACTGAATTTGGGATATTGTATATCCTCTCAGTATGACCAATGTATCCACCAAGTTTCATCATCTTTGAAAGTTATGCTATTGACATAAATTTTTAACAAGCAGCAAGCAATAACTTAACGGAGAGGGTAATTGGAAATGATTTTGCTACAATGCACATTATTTTTGTATGTCAAAATACACCAAGTTTCAGGATCCTAGTTTAAATACACTTAAAGTTATCCTCTAGACACAACAATGGGCAATAACTCTGTAATTAAGGGGTTGCCAGACATGAGTAATGCTTCGGACATGGATGGATGGACCAATAAAGTGTTAACTCTATACCCCACTCAAAGGAGCATAAAAAGTCATAAAGTCGATTTGAAATACATTGAAGTTTGGCGCTGTATATTTCAGAGCAGAACAAATATTCTAGTGTGGTTATCAGGCAAAATCAAGTATGGTGTCAATACCAGTAAACAAAAATTTAGTGCCAAACTTTTCCAAGTTTCAATTGTCTGAATTTACAGTAAATGTCAAGGATAAAGAGAATATATATATTTATATGGCCCATGTCATAAAACATATACTGCAATTTGGCTCAGGACAGAAAGACAAACATGGCTTACCAAAATCTCTTCATTTTTGTGTGTTTTTACACTAGTCAGCTTGTATTTAACAGCCATGACAATATATTCCCTTTTATCCCTACAACTACACCACTAATGATACCAATTTATACTTCCTGATACTAACACCTCTCAGCATATCAATCTCCTTTAATATTGTTGACACTTGCTTCTGCTGTTGCTTGACTGAAACCCCATGACTACTGAGCACTGACTACCTAGTACAGGTCATAATATTCCTTAGGAATTATTTTCCATAAGGAATCTACTGAATAATGTATATTTTGTTTTAAATCAAAATTGCTACATAATCTACTGACTAAAATATTTACTGCTCTCAATCAAAACCGATATATAATCTACTGACTAAAATATTTACTGCTCTCAATCAAAACCGCTATATAATCTACTAAAATATTTACTGCTCTCAATCAAAACCGCTATATAATCTACTGACTAAAATATTTACTGTTCTCAATCAAAACCGCTATATAATCTACTGACTAAAATATTTACTGATCTCAATCAAAACCGCTATATAATCTACTAAAATATTTACTGCTCTCAATCAAAACCGCTATATAATCTACTAAAATATTTACTGCTCAATATATAATCTACTAAAATATTTACTGCTCTCAATCAAAACCGCTATATAATCTACTAAAATATTTACTGCTCTCAATCAAAACCGCTATATAATCTACTAAAATATTTACTGCTCTCAATCAAAACCGCTATATAATCTACTCTCAATCAAAACCGCTATATAATCTAAAAAATATTTACTGATCTCAATCAAAACCGCTATATAATCTACTAAAATATTTACTGCTCTCAATCAAAACCGCTATATAATCTACTAAAATATTTACTGCTCTCAATCAAAACCGCTATATAATCTACTAAAATATTTACTGTTCTCAATCAAAACCGCTATATAATCTACTAAAATATTTACTGATCTCAATCAAAACCGCTATATAATCTACTAAAATATTTACTGCTCTCAATCAAAACCGCTATATAATCTACTAAAATATTTACTGCTTTCAATCAAAACCGCTATATAATCTACTAAAATATTTACTGCTTTCAATCAAAACCGCTATATAATCTACTAAAATATTTACTGCTTTCAATCAAAACTGCTACATAATCTACTGACTAAAATATTTACTGCTTTCAATCAAAACTGCTACATAATTTTCTGACTTAAGTATCTCCTATCTGAAGCTATTGACCTCAAATAAAATCAGAATTAATTACTTAGTAAACAGACTTAAGTATCTCCTACTACCTGCAGCTACTGAACTCAGTTAAAGCTACTACAAAATCAGCTGACTTTAGTATCTTCTACATTTAGCTACTGACTTGATTAAAGGCACAACAAGGGACTGAGGGGAAAATACACAAGAAATTCTAAGGATCCATCTACAACTTTCAAAGAATTAGCAGTAAAAAAAAAAAATTTAATCTTCAAAATCCACCACTGCCATCTGTTATATATGGGGGTTCGGGATCGCAACCTGACACAAACCACAACAACACACATGTAGGTATCGCACTGAGAATGAGGCTGTCTCTGTATTTGGATCACCTGTCAGCCATTGTGTTTTCTTGATCAGTCTCAAAATTAAAAGGGTACAACAAGGGCCCAAGGCAAACCTATATATCAGTGAAGAGACAGAACCATACCAGTTCAAGAAATAGTAACAACATAGGACTATTTGAATTAAATACTTTATGATTATGGTAAGCTAGAAACACAAAATTTACACAGTTACATGATTATGCGTTGAAGTGAGCTATAAAGTAAATAAGGCATGTGTTACATGTTTTACTGACATACAACTTAAACAACAAAACATTGAGTCCCTAAATGTTTATGATCCCGACTTTTGTGTAGAGCAAAACCCAACAAAGAAAAAGAAAGGAAATTAATTCAACAAAGCATGCAGGCAGCAGTTTTCAAGGAACAGCATTTATGTCCTATGTCTATTTACACTAACCTGTATTTAAAAGAATAGAGACCGTTGGCTACCTATGCAACTTTGACCCTGAACACTGTCAAGAACAGCATCAGGCAGTCGCATGGGATCAGTGGAGATGGACAAAATAGCATTGTATGAGTTGATAATACTGCTGTCATGGTAACCAACGTCACATACTATAGGGCGTATGGGCTCTGAAGCCAAAAGGAAAAAAAAAAGTTCACCTTGCTTAATTGTTTTGTTTTCCATACAAAGCACAATGTGTAAATTCTCTATATATCTATTAGATATTATCTCTGATATCATGATTTTTATCAAAAAAAAAAAAATCATAAATATTTTGTGAGTATATATTCAAATGCCCATTGAATCTATAAGTGATTGTAAACACTTTTTCTACCTTCAATGAAGCAGTTAGTATTGTTTCTAATGGCCCAAAACATTTAGAATAATTTTGTATTAAAACCCTGCAGGCCTATATCGCTCACCTGTCTGAAAGTAAATCACTTTTTACCTGATCTACTACTGCCCTAAATAAATATGGTACAACTTTAATGTCTATGTAATAATCATTTGCAGGGTGTTTGGATTGTTTGGTGGGACTGAGAATTGTTAGCAATCAATCTATTTATCAAATGCCAAAAATTTGTACCAAAATGTAAAAAAAAAAAAAAAAAAAGGTAAAAAACTTTAAAACAATTATTTCCCACTAGATACATCGTCTTTCCCCAAGGAGACATAATCTTCACTGAACTCATTTGCAATCATTCTATTCATTGTTGTTGTTGCAGGCCACAGAGACTTTATCCATCTGACCAGAAGATTTACATCAATATTCCACTCACAAGTTTGCTTCTCTTCCATAAGAATACATCTTTTCTGAACAAAAGAAAGCCCCTTGTCCATGGGTAAAAACAGTACATAAAAAATAAAGATCCTGAGGCAAATACCAGAGACAGACAGATGATGCACCATAGCACAAGACTTTCAGGCTGCTATAGGAATTATCAGAGTTTTCATGGTTTGTGAAAATCTTGAATAATTGATAGAAAAAGTTGCTGTCTAATTTATAACTTTTATAGAGTTTTTCTATCACATAGATCATTCAAACATTTTCTAAAATAACAATTTAATTTCATATCTTGCATACCTATTGGTCAAGAATAAATCAAGACCAATCTCCAGATGAATCTCCAGATGAAACAGGCTTTAATTTATGTTTCTTATTTTTAGCAATGTACCAGAAATACGTAGTTAACTTAATAAACAATAAAGACCTAAGAAAATGATATTAATTGAGTATCCCTAATACTTACCAGCCCTTCTCATTCTCTTGAAACATTCTTCCTCCAAATCATCTCGTCCTCTTTTCATGCCCGCTCTGAAGAACATGGCAGCCTCTCCTTGCATGCAGCCATCTCCAATTGACTCGGCCATGTCCATTTCACAGTCTGCAGTGTTGTCTTCCCCAGTCTGACCAGGAACTACACCGCCATTCAAACCTTGCATAATGAGGTTAGGATCTGTCACAGTTCGGTTTCCATTGACACCATTTGGTATCATATTGGAATTACTCTGATTGGTCTGGGTGACTGGCATCCTCAGCTCATTGTACACGCCCTCTGCTTGCTGCTGCATCTGAGTTGCTCTCTCTAAGTAGTTGGCACATTCCTGGTATCCACATTCAGCTGCAACCTGGCTAGGGGTTTGGTTATTGTGGTTTCTGATACTGAAATAAAATTCTATGTATAATGCACCGATAGAGTAATTCACAGATGGAAAATGTTTGTTTTGCCTATATTTCATATACAAACATGCATTATAAAAGTAGTTATATATACAATTTCTTTTGGCAGTTCTCAACACATATGTCACAGATTAGGTTCAAGCATCCAAACAATAGCATTACTGTTTTCCAGGGAATGGAAAAGACCGCCTGGCCAATTAACTAGTATGTGGCATAAGTGCACCATAAATTCTCTTCCTGTCCAGCAGTTATGACAAAGGTGAGAACTTTACTTAATTAAGCTCTGTTGGGTGGGGAAATTGTTGGTAAGTATGAATGTTCAATAGCAATATATTCAAAGCCCTGAACAGTAACTTTTGAAATGAAAGACAGGATAGAAACATTGAAGTATATATATTATGAAAAAGATCTGTAACTTTCTGTTTCTGTAACATACTGATTAATTGCCTCAGTGATATCTTATAAAACCCTGACCCTTCAGTCCTCTAATGGGGAAACCCGTCCTCTAGAATAGACTGACCACTTATAGCCCCATCCCTTGGCACCCATTTCTTTCTCCATTATTAATTTAGATCCTCCCTACAATACAAACTAACAAATCTAACATATTTTCATTATAATCTACCAATCAGTTGCTGAAGAGAATTCACTGCTGTGTTTTTGCTTCAAGTCACTGGAAGCTTATCTTGGCCAAACCAAGATCCGTTAGCTAAGGTAAGAATCTTTCTCCAAATATAGTTTCTAAATCACTGAAATGGCAAACAATTATTTACCAACCACAATATCTAACAATATCTGAAAATCACCACATTTACTGATATCACTTATAATTTTTGTGGAAAAGCAAAACATTCTGGGAGAATGAAGTTGAAGGACAGATTCCGTTTTTGAGTACTGGATAGCAGGTTATTTACAAGCGGATGACATTTCCTTTTTTCATGGTACATTAAAATGATCAATAATTAACAAAATAAATCAATTAATACATACTTGAATATTGAGACATGTGTGTATAAGATGTACTTTTAGTTGTTTTTTTGTTTGGACCATTTTTCCAACAAATATCGACTCTTTCCCCTAAGCTGAAAATGTTGTATTTTTCAAAAAATTACAATAAAGTTTCCCAATCGAAAATTTTGTTTGTATTTCTTTGTATTTTCTGATGTCTTGTATATGATCACATCATGAGTTGCTAAGTCATAACACATCTTCAAAACCTAACGAATACGAACATTATCACCTCAAACATCATGTAGGCCTAGAGGCGTGTGATTTTCATCCTTTTTTATCTTGATCCTTAAAATGCTTTGTAACAGTTTAAATATATGGCAAAGATTTGAAGCACTGAAATTACACTGAGATTGTGAAAAATTTTGCATAACAATAAATACTTCACCAAACGACTTGCTAAAAAAGACACAAAGGGTATATTACGAATCAGCGATGCAATCAAGCGATCAATGCACCTAAAGTAGGCCTAACCATTTTTGATCATGATATGCCAAGTGAATCATCATCAGCATCACCAGATAAAAAAATCACCCACTAAGTGAGTATCTGATTGACAGTTTCTGAATTGAAAATGTAATGCTGCAATGCATCAGCTATCAAATCACCTGTTGGATTACCTTAAACTAGAAATGGTAACAACAAATGAAGCTATTTGGGAAGAAAACAATCCTACACATACAAAAACTACTTTGGTCCTGCATATACTGTGGTGATTATCCAGTCAATGAGGAATTTACCTAAGTTTGCATCCCTGCGAGACAAGTAGACTGACACACTCCATACTTCCTGTCCTGGCAGCTTTGTGAATAGGTGTCTCTCCAAGGTAATCCTGAAATGAAACAAGCCAGGTTAACTCATGATAAAGGAATGTACCTCACCTCATTTATGTAGAGATATAACAGCACTGATAGATTACTTTATGAACCACCTAGACAGTCTCTCTCTCTCTCTCTATATATATATATATCTACCCTAAACTAACATGAGTACACACTTCATCATCTTTTTGGATGCTCAACAATTCTGTTGCTTAAATTCAGATCATAAAATAATTCAAGAAATTTCCAAAACAATTACTTGGACATAAACATGGAATAAACATGACACTGAGTCACGATGAACAATGCCAGCTGATCCTATGATCTAATTCACCAAAAACTTAAAAATCAATATGAATGCTGCATTAAAATACCTGAACTTCAACATTAGCTCCAGTTTGAATTATCCATTGAGCACAATGGGGTTGGTCTCTGAGAGACGCCAAATGCAGAGGGGTCTGTCCAAATCGTGAGGTAGCGTGGTGACAGAGTGTACCATCATTACTTAAAGATGTCAGTTTTCTCAAACAAGCCAACTAAAAGGGCAAGAGAGAAAAACAAAAACATTAATGTCCCATCACAACAAGAATGTTTTAATTTTTCATATCTGGTACATTTACCTGTCGATTTATCATTGCTCCACAGTGTAGCAGCCATTTTAAACAATGGCCCTTTCCACCAAATGCTGCAATATGTGCAGGAGTCTGGTTGAAGCGATTGGTAGTGGAGTCAAAGCTTGCACCATGTTCTAAAAGCCGCATCAAACAAGTCAACTAAAAATTCAAACACAGACTATAACTTATATAGAAATATGAAAACAGGCACAAATCAACAGTTTAATGAAAAAATGAAAAAACAAAATACAGATATGTTTATAGAATATCAGAAAGAATGAGCGAAAAAAAATAAAGATGTCTAAATGACCAAGGCATTATAATTTTTGCTGTCTGACATCTGTTTAACAGTTCTTCATGACATTCATAGATAACCAGTGGTAAATTCAATATGATGTAGCCATTATTGCAGGTTTTGTAATTACCTCAATTTCGGTCATTATTAAGTACCCCTTTTTCAAATGTTCAGTCTAAAGTATTCAATGAATTACCCAACGAAAGCATTTTTATCAAATAATATTCTGTCCTTTATGACATGGACCAAAAAATAGATGTAACTATAAAGAAATGCCAATAGGATTTCAGTGACATGAATACAGGTCTCCTATCATAAGTTTGGATATAAGTTCAATGCTCATTGAATGTGAACATATTCTCAATAGCAGTATTTTTTCCCATAAACTAAAATACCTCATTTATCTGGAGTTGCACAAAAATATATATATTATTTTCAATTGCCATCTTTATTATGCATAATATGAATTCTCTTTTTGTTTAAAGAAAAGGAAATATTAAGTAAATGATGATAAATTATGAAAAATCTCAATTGATAATCGCATCATATGTGGTTTAACGATTAGATAATCAATCAGTTCATTATCCCATCACTACGAGACCTAATTTCTTTAAAACGAACATTTCCTCTCACCTTTTTTATATTTATGACATTTGCTATGAAATCAAGTTTATTCTATTTTAAAAGGAAAATAACATCAACGATTTAAATACAAACTAAATGATTAAATAAAATCTTTTTTTTATAGTGAGTATCTGCAATCGTCAATGATGAGACAAATCGAAAGTAGCTAGACCGCGTGATACTCACTTCAAGGCCTCTGCTTGAGCTATTTATAGAAATAATATGAAAACGAGGGTACTGACAAAAGAAACCTGTTGACCCCTCATAATTCATAAGAAATTAAACAAAATTAAAAAGAAGAAAAAAATCACCTTCCCGAAGTGGGCCGCCCAATGGACGGGTGTCCATCCATATAGACCGTCTTCTTCATATAAATTATAGCTGCCAGACGACAGTAAGCGTGACAGAGTTTCTAGGTCACCGTCTCGACAAGCGTGGTGCATTGGAAATTGCGTTTTTAACAGTTCATCGGTCGAGGAAGAAAAATCCTCATGTCCACAATCCTCATCCATGAATGCTATTGTTGCTCCGTGGCGAGTGTCAGTCATCTGTAAGTGAATTATCAATGTTTATTTCGAACGATTGTTATCATCCGTCGCCCTAATACATCAACATTCGTCTTCACGCCAAAAGCCGGCTTTTATGCAAATTTGCAAACCATTATTTTGAGCGAAACGCATCAATATTTTGTGGGGAAAAACAAACTGTGATTATGCATTTAAATCAATACCATCAACCCTTTTTAGTGAGAAATTTGTTTGCTAAAGATGAGTGAAATACTTTGTACATATTAAAATTTTAATAGTTAGATCACTTACATGTTTCGAAATTTAAACAACCTACATTGTCGTCTCTCGTTCCTTAACGAGATTGTACGAGAACATAATAATAAACAACCTCTCACGATAACCCGTAAGTCAGCGAACTCTAACCGAAGAGGTGAATCACGCATGTGTCGACCCTTTTTATTTTTGGCAAGTACTGAAGTGTCTATATTACAGGTCTCTGAAAACATATTCATTGAAAAGTACAACCCTGGAAATTATCGGCGTATATCACTCGTATCGTCAAACGTCCGATATAAATAAATCCCAGCACTGGCAGCAGGGATTAGCTGATACTCATCATAGCCTTAATTTATTTCCCATCTTTAGCATGGCTTCAGGCAATCCAGGTCATATGACAGTCAGCTAATTGAGTTTATTATTGATATCACTAATTACTTAGAATTATCAGGGACGTATAATACAGTATATCTGTATTTTACGTCCCTGGAATTATCATGGATTTCACAGTAAGGCATTTGATAAGGTCAGCTACCAACTTTCAATCTACAAACTTAGGAACTATGGCAGAGTTGGGCAAGTAAACACTTGGATAACAAAACTCCTTAAGTAACAGGGCGCAAGTAATAATTGCCAAGGAGGAAAAATCTACCACTGTCTCATTAAGATCAGGTCCCTTACCCCCCACCTCCGTGGGCCTAGCCTTTTTGTCTGTAATATCAATGACATCACTGTGGGCATTTCATTCTCCATTAGACTCTTTTCAGATGATACCACAATGTATCTTGCAGTCATTTCAGAATGAGATGTCCAATCTCTGCAAAGTAAAAAACGACCTTGTCAGCTTGGCCATGTGAGGGTTGGAGGGTCAAAAAATAGAAATCCCATTGTCCGTTTGTACACGATTCACTGACATGAACTCCAACATGTGTCCATAACTGCCAACTTTTTTTAATCAAGCGGTAGTTTCCCAATTTTCACTCCCCATCCTTGTCTCCCAACGGTATGAATCAAAATTGGGGTTATATCCAGATTTCAGAGATCCCACTAGGTAGGCTATAGGTAACCTTGCTATGTTTGTCAAATTGGTAAGGTTGACCACCTGGCCACATAATCAAGGCCTAGCTAGGCAAGTACACTGCTAACTTATCTTATTATTGTCACAGTTAGTATAGAAATGTTTCATCTTTCCATCAATATAATATTTATTGGCATCATGGGTTGTAAATTATATAAACATTGCTGGAGTGCTGATCCATGCACAGGTTGCTAAAACTTTGTGTTTTTATGTAGGAAAAGTTTCTGGCTATTTACCAAGACCAAGACAAATATTCAAATTGACAATTGATAATTGAACCCCTATCATAGTCTGACTTTCCTCAAGCTCATACATGCATATGGTAGGTATTCATTTATATTAAACATTTGAACAGAGACAAATATGTCAACTATAAGGCTGACATCTGGTATATGTAGGATTTGTTTATTTAATGGATTTTATACAAATGCATGTCCACTATTATGGCCTGTCAACCTTTCAGCAGATGACTGGCATATGTAACAGTCAATGCTAGAGGAAATACAAGCTGAAATATCTGTGACACATGCATTAATGCAATGTAGCTATTTTGACAAAATTACAGAAATAAATATTTTTACAAGATTGCTTTCTTTTTGTTAGTAATGTCATTGAATATTAATTGCTGATCTTGACTTGAAACAGATAAATCAATTATAGTATATATCAATTTGTATAGAGTAAGATGTCAATATGATATGAAATAGAAAAAAAAACAATTACAGCGAACAAACAGTAAGTTAACAAAACATGCAACATGCTAGTCTTTACCAGGTGGCAATTTGTTAGCATCCATTTTAAGTTACAATACAGTATGATGTACCATACTGGAGAGATAGAGATACAAAAAAATCAAACTGACAAACATTTTAATTCAATATGTATCACAATAAATCATTTCACCTCTGCACAACATACAAAGTTTTATGAAATAGAACCTTCTTGCAAAGTAATGATCTTTATTGTATCTTGTCTGAATTTTAGCTGGTGAGATGGACATGGTCTCTGAGATGACAAGAAGTTAAGTATAAGTGAGAGGATGAATACGGCCCAGAGTGTAGTGTTGGGGTGTGGTGGACTGGTACTTGCTGTCCTCTACCAGTATGATTTCCTATTTACAACCATATTTGTAATCCTCCATTTACTTGTGATTGGTGCCGGTATATTTCTTGGGTCATCATGGTCACTGGTTCGAGGAAAACAGTACAAACCAACATCAGCTCCTCCTGAAGATTCAGCTGTCAATATGCTGATACAAAAACTAATGGTAAAGTCATAACCTACATCATCTCTATCTCGTTATTACAGAATTATTTTAATGGTTAGAAATGTTATAGGTCAATATTTAGGTTGCAGCCTAGTTATTATACAGAGGTCCCCTTTAACTGGGACCTTAGGAGTTCTTTACATATATTTTGAAATTATATAAGATAAAGATTAAAGATAATTAAAGAGGTACATGTTTAGATATATTCTACAGATGTTTTATGCTTTTCATCGTATATAAATATCTGGGTAAAGGTGTAAAAATATACAAGATATAGATTGTTGTAGCCATCGTAAGTGAGATGCTTATATATTTATATCTCCATATATGGGTGAAAAGATGTCCAAAGTGTCAGATGTGATGAAATTCTTGTACTTTACAGGAAAGGAAAGCTGATAAGAGGGGGGAGCCAAAGAAAGTTGTGATATCCCGGAATATTGACCTTGCCCTTCAAGAAGTTATTGATTTGTCTCTACGTGACTTTGTTGTTACTTGGTATGAAGATTTGTCAAAGGACCAGGAATCTCTACTGTCAGCTATCAGGTAAGTACACAGAGAATATATCCAGTTATCAGGTAAGTACACAGAGAATATATCCAGTTATCAAGTAAGTACACAGAGAATATATCCAGTTATCAAGTAAGTACACAGAGAATATATCCAGTTATCAAGTAAGTACACAGAGAATATATCCAGTTATCAAGTAAGTACACAGAGAATATATCCAGTTATCAGGTAAGTACAGAGAATATATCCAGTTATCAGGTAAGTACAGAGAATATATCCAGTTATCAGGTAAGTACACAGAGAATATATCCAGTTATCAAGTAAGTACACAGAGAATATATCCAGTTATCAGGTAAGTACAGAGAATATATCCAGTTATCAAGAATATATCACAGAGAATATATCCAGTTATCAAGTAAGTACACAGAGAATATACACAGAGAATATATCCATCAAGTCACAGTTATATCCAGTTATCAAGTAAGTACACAGAGAATATATCCAGTTATCAAGTAAGTACACAGAGAATATATCCAGTTATCAAGTAAGTACACAGAGAATATATCCAGTTATCAAGTAAGTACACAGAGAATATATCCAGTTATCAAGTAAGTACACAGAGAATATATCCAGTTATCAAGTAAGTACACAGAGAATATATCCAGTTATCAAGTAAGTACACAGAGAATATATCCAGTTATCAAGTAAGTACACAGAGAATATATCCAGTTATCAAGTAAGTACACAGAGAATATATCCAGTTATCAGGTAAGTACACAGAGAATATATCCAGTTATCAAGTAAGTACACAGAGAATATATCCAGTTATCAAGAATATATCCAGTTATCACAGAGAATATATCCAGTTATCAAGTAAGTACACCAGTTATCAAGAATACACAGAGAATATATCCAGTTATCAAGTAAGTACACAGAGAATATATCCAGTTATCAAGTAAACAGAGAATATATCCAGTTATCAAGTACACAGAGAATATATCCAGTTATCAAGTACACAGAGAATATATCCAGTTATCAAGTAAGTACACAGAGAATATATCCATACATATCCAGTTATCAAGTAAGTACACAGAGAATATATCCAGTTATCAAGTAAGTACACAGAGAATATATCCAGTTATCAAGAGAATATATCCAGTTATCAAGTAAGTTATCAAGTAAGTACACAGAGAATATATCCAGTTATCACAGAGAATATATCCAGTTATCAAGTAAGTACACAGAGAATATATCCAGTTATCAAGAATATATCCAGTTATCAAGTAAGTACACAGTTATATCCAGTTATCAAGTAAGTACACAGAGAATATATCCAGTTATCAAGTAAGTACACAGAGAATATATCCAGTTATCAAGTAAGTACACAGAGAATATATCCAGTTATCAAGTAAGTACACAGAGAATATATCCAGTTATCAGAGAATATATCCAGTTATCAAGAATACACAGAGAATATATCCAGTTATCAGTAAGTACAAGAATATATCCAATATATCCAGTTATCAAGTAAGTACACAGAGAATATATCCAGTTATCAAGTAAGTACACAGAGAATATATCCAGTTATCAAGTAAGTACACAGAGAATATATCCAGTTATCAAGTAAGTACACAGAGAATATATCCAGTTATCAAGTAAGTACACAGAGAATATATCCAGTTATCAAGTAAGTACAGAGAATATATCCAGTTATCAATACACAGAGAATATATCCAGTTATCAAGTAAGTACACAGAGAATATATCCAGTTATCAAGTAAGTACACAGAGAATATATCCAGTTATATCAGAGAATATATCAGTTATCAAGTAAGTACACAGAGAATATATCCAGTTATCAAGTAAGTACACAGAGAATATATCCAGTTATCAGGTAAGTACACAGAGAATATATCCAGTTATCAAGTAAGTACACAGAGAATATATCCAGTTATCACACAGAGAATATATCCAGTTATCAAGTAAGTACACAGAGAATATATACAGTTATCAAGTAAGTACACAGAGAATACATCCAGTTATCAAGTAAGTACACAGAGAATATATCCAGTTATCAAGTAAGTACACAGAGAATATATCCAGTTATCAAGTAAGTACACACAGAGAATATATCCAGTTATCAAGTAAGTACACAGAGAATATATCCAGTTATCAAGTAAGTACACAGAGAATATATCCAGTTATCAAGTAAGTACACAGAGAATATATCCAGTTATCAAGTAAGTACACAGAGAATATATCCAGTTATCAGAAGTACACAGAGAATATATCCAGTTATCAAAGTACACAGAGAATATATCCAGTTATCAAGAGAGAATATATATCCAGTTATCAAGTAAGTACACAGAGAATATATCCAGTTATCAGAGAATATAGAATATATATCCAGTTATCAAAGTACAGAGAATATATCCAGTTATCACAGAGAATATATCCAGTTATCAAGTAAGTACACAGTTATCAGAATATATATCCAGTTATCAAGTAAGTACACAGAGAATATATCCAGTTATCAGTACACAGAGAATATATCCAGTTATCAGGTAAGTATATCCAGTTATCAGAGAATATATCCAGTATATCCATTATCAAGTAAGTACACAGAGAATATATCCAGTTATCAAGTAAGTACACAGAGAATATATCCAGTTATCAAGTAAGACATATATCCAGTTATCAAGTAAGTACACAGAGAATATATATCAGTTATCAAGTAAGTACACAGAGAATATATCCAGTTATCAAGTAAGTACACAGAGAATATATCCAGTTACAGAGAATATATCAGTTATCAAGTAAGTACACAGAGAATATATCCAGTTATCAAAGTACAGAGAATATATCCAGTTATCACACAGAGAATATATCCAGTTATCAAGTAAGTACACAGAGAATATATCCAGTTATCAGTTATCAAGTAAGTACACAGAGAATATATCCAGTTATCAAGTAAGTACACAGAGAATATATCCAGTTATCAAGTAAGTACACAGAGAATATATCCAGTTATCAAGTAAGTACACAGAGAATATATCCAGTTATCAAGTACACAGAGAATATATCCAGTTATCAAGTAAGTACACAGAGAATATATCCAGTTATCAAGTAAGTACACAGAGAATATATCCAGTTATCAAGTAAGTACACAGAGAATATATCCAGTTATCAATATCCAGTTATCAGTACACAGAGAATATATCCAGTTATCAAGTAAGTACACAGAGAATATATCCAGTTATCAAGTAAGTACACAGAGAATATATCCAGTTATCAAGTAAGTACACAGAGAATATATCCAGTTATCAAGTAAGTACACAGAGAATATATCCAGTTATCAAGTAAGTACACAGAGAATATATCCAGTTATCAAGTAAGTACACAGAGAATATATCCAGTTATCAAGTAAGTACACAGAGAATATATCCAGTTATCCAGTCAAGTAAGTACACAGAGAATATATCCAGTTATCAAGTAAGTACACAGAGAATATATCCAGTTATCAGGTAAGTACACAGAGAATATATCCAGTTATCAAGTAAGTACACAGAGAATATATCCAGTTATCAAGTAAGTACACAGAGAATATATCCAGTTATCAAGTAAGTACACAGAGAATATATCCAGTTATCAAGTAAGTACACAGAGAATATATCCAGTTATCAAGTAAGTACACAGAGAATATATCCAGTTATCAAGTAAGTACACAGAGAATATATCCAGTTATCAAGTAAGTACACAGAGAATATATCCAGTTATCAAGTAAGTACACAGAGAATATATCCAGTTATCAGGTAAGTACAGAGAATATATCCAGTTATCAAGTAAGTACACAGAGAATATATCCAGTTATCAAGTAAGTACACAGAGAATATATCCAGTTATCAAGTAAGTACAGAGAGAATTGCTATTACTTGTCATAAGAATCATGTAAGTCAGAGATGTATACAAAATGGCAATGTATATTTTTTTTATTTTTGTTGAATCATGCATTTATTACATATTTTGGATGTCTTTTCCTGTTATATTGCATCTGTGTAAAAACTTTTTTGTTATCAGGTGTGACATTTGGATCGTAATTAAACAACTCAGCACCAGGTTATATAAAGTAGACATGATGAAGTTAATCACGCAGGATGTTGTAGAAAAACTTCATGCTCACTTTACAGAGATACGAATTGCAGCCAAGAGGTTAGTATTTTAACCAAAACTTGTCTTAGGTTGTTATTTTACATATTATTCCTAAATTGAATAGCAATTTATGTACATTAAAAGTAAATGTGTATTAAAGAAAGATCCAAATGTCGATCACTAGACTGACACCATTTTGATACAGGAATCACACAATATAAAAAATCCCCTTCTACAATTACAATTTGACTGACTCAGTGATAAATCTACATGCGAGTCCTGAGTCCTGTTCACATGTCAATTTGATGGGAATCATAGAATTTCCAGAAATATTTATATTTTACACTACGTGACTTGTTGTTTTTAGCAAAAAGTTGAGAAGGACCCAGGAAAATAAATTTTAGATTGATCACTGCTGAATATATTAGCTTTTTATCAATTCTGCTGTGCATTTGTAAAATTCTGAAAATAATGATATGAGATGGTCATATATGTTATGCTGGGAGATAAAATATATATATTTGGAAAGACGCTAGATTTATATATAAAAAATTATGTTAATGTAAAATATGTTTGACATCAGTGGTGACAGCAGTGTTGGGGATGAGAAAAAATTCCATCTACATCCGTGGTTGGCTAGTGAGGCATCTGAAAGGCAGTTCCTTAGCCAACTCTGTGAGGTGCTTCTTCTTATATTTCTCCCTGACAACTACAATGGCTGTACCACTATACGGCATATCCTCCGTGAAATCATCACATCTGCAGGTAAACATCTTGATGTTATTGTAAAATGTCATTAATGACAGACTGGAAGTTAGTTTAGATAGTAGAATGTTGTGAAAATGACTAATATTTCATCGTTCCAAATCAGAAATTTGAAATTTGCCAGTCTGTCCATCTCACTTGTTTCCATACAATATTTCCAGTTGTGCCTGACTGATTTGGCTCAATCTTCAAACAGTGCATCCTCAAATCCTCAACAATGTGGCTGCTTCAGATTGGTTTCTTTGTGCAAATGCTAAAAGCAAAATTTTTTTTTTGTAAATAACTAACCAAAACTGGTAGATAAATGCCTGTTACAGCTGGTAGATAAGTGTTTGTGTGACTCTGATGTCATTGTTAGTGTTGTAGATAAGTGTCTGTGTGACTCAGATGTCATTGTTAGTGTTGTAGATAAGTGTCTGTGTGACTCAGATGTAAGTGTTAGTGTTGTAGATAAGTGTCTGTGTGACTCAGATGTCAGTGTTTATGTTGTAGATAATTGTCTATGTAACTCATATGTCAGTGTTATAGTTGTTGTAAAACTTTATGTGTGACAGTGATGTCACTGTTACAGTTGACATCTACTCAACAAAAAAAGAAAGGTTAACATGTTTCCTTGGCGAATGCCTGTAAATGAGTGAAAACAAAATGGCGTTTGTGCAATATTAGATAATGGTAATGTTTTACATTACAAAATCCAAGGGGGTTACCAAAATCATTCAAGCATGAAAGTCTGTATTAGCAAAAGAGCTGCACGAGGTTTTCTGCGACTAACTTGTATCTTCACTTGAATTTCATAAACATTCAAACTGACAACTGTTCCTTAGATCCTTAGGACTTAGAAATCACCGAATCTTGCTATCTATCAACTTTGTCATTATATCCCCGGCTGTCTCAAGTACAGAGAGAAAGGGCTGTAGGCCTGATCCAGGGTGGGAAGTCTCGCCTTCGAATTGCACGGCATTTTGGTTGCAGTGTTAAGACAATTTGCCAGTTGGTAAGTCGTTTAAACCAAACTGGGTCGACATCCGATTGTCCCCGAAGTGGCCGACCCCATAAAACGACCGCCAGGTATGACCGTCGTATACGATTGATACACTTGCGCAATCGATTCGTAACCGCAGTAGAGACTACAAGGACATTGTTTGGGCGTCGTGTGTCTCCCAAAACAGTCCGCAACAGGTTGAGGGCCTACCAATTGAAAGCGCAGCGTCCCTACACTGGACCCAATTTGTTGCGACGTCACCATAATAATCGGCATAACTGGACCCGTGTTCCCTGTTGTTGGGCCTTACGACAATGGAACAATGTTCTATTTTCAGATGAGTCCGGGTTTTGTCTGCAACACGGTGACAGAAGGCGCAGAGTGTGGAGGTGACGAGGGGAGCGTTTTGCGAACAGCTGCGTCGCAGAACGGGACCGCTTTGGCAGTGGAAGTGTAATGGTTTGGCGTGGTATTTGTGGGGGGACTCGTACCAGGCTTGTTGTGTTAAATGGCAATTTAACCGGCATTCGATATCGGGACAAAATTTTAAGACCTGTGGTTCTGCCATTTTTAAGACGCCATTGCATTGGCGCCATTTTTCAACAGGATAACGCACCAGCGCACACCAGTTGCGTCAGCAGAACTTTCTTGCAGCAGAATAACGTATAGGTGTTAGATTGGCCATCTAAATCACCTGATTTGTCACCGATTGAGCATGTCTGGGACGTTCTTGGGTGATTCGTGAGAGAAGGTCAAAATCAGCCGTCAAACTTGCAGGAGCTGGCCCAAGCCTTGATCGCTGAATGGAACAACATCTCTCCTCGAATTATCCGCCGGTTTACGAGTTCCATGCGACGACGCTGCAATGCTGTTTATTTCGCAAGCGGTTGCCATACCCGTTACTAATGGTGTTACCTTTGAAATTGACCCCAACGTCCTTTACAGTCAAATAAAATCAACTGAACGCAAAGTTTTATAATGAACCATGACTGCAGTTTTATCAGAATTGATCGATTACTTTATTCATACATGATTGGTAAGGATTTATGAAGGGGTTAATTAATTATTCACAGAATAAAGTAATGTTACCTTTCTTTTTTTGTTTAGTATATAAGTGTCTGTATGGTGCCAGTGATATAGCTGGTAGATAAGTGTCTGTGTGACTCTGATCTTTGATGTTATTTCAGTTGCTACTGGGTGATTTGTATGTTAAAGCCAGTGGTTTCTGATGTTTGTATGATATGATGTTTCAAGGATTGCAACCACTGGTAGACATGGTGTGTGACCCAGACTACATAAATGAGAAGCTCATTGCTTACATTGACTACCGACGTCAAGTGTCGGAGGACACGCGGCGCACTTACTTGTATGCTGCCAACTATGAAGACTTTGTCAAGATGATTGGAAAATGTGAAGACATCGAGCATTTAAAACAAATCAGGTTTGTTTCTGGCATCAGTCAGTAATATGTGAAATCCTTTTTCAGGTTTTTAATTTTGTAACAAAATTTTTAAACAGATTAATACACACCTTATTATACTGCTGTCATTTTTATAGAAATGTTTATATTGAGATTATCAGCGGTAACACCATTACAGTAGAAAGGATCTCTATGCCACTGTTTTGGTTTTGCTTGTTTTTCTTCATGCTTTCTTCATAATAGAATATTTCATAAAAGGTAGTATTTAATAGGAATGCAAACTGTAATTACTTAAAAATGGTTGTACATTGAAGTTTCTTACTGAGGATATCAAGATTTCAGGTGTAATGATCTAATTCTGGCTTTCTGACTTCACTCAGACAAAACTCAGTTTACACAGAAATGAAACCATATTTAGATAGAGTTTTACACAGTTTCTGATTACTCTGTCCAATACAAAGTTTCATCACTAACGAAATTAGTTAATGAAATTTAACTTATATTGGCAAGAATAAGAAAATTCTTTTCACATTATTAAACAGACATTGACAAAATTTCATTGGGTGATTGAAATATATTGTACTGCTAAAATCAGGAGCAAAATTAGAGATAGGTCCGTTAAAGATTATGATAAAAACCATAGGTTTCAGATAAAAACATGGTTAAAGATTAAAACCTCTGGTAAGGGATGAAATCCACATAGAAAAAGATTAAGCAGATACAATGTAGAAACTACAGTTCCATATTTTTTTTCAGATATAACATCATAACAGAAATTATACAAGCTACAACTATCAAGAATCTGCAGCAGGAACAGGCTGGTACAGGTAAGCCTGACTGGTACAGACACCTGGTACAGACTGACTGGTACAAACACCTGGTACAGACTGACTGGTACAAACACCTGGTACAGACTGACTGGTACAAACACCTGGTACAGACTGACTGATACAGACTGACTGGTACAAACACCTGGAACAGACTGACTGGTACAAACACCTGGTACACAACGACTGGTACAAACACCTGGTACAAACACCTGGTACAGACTGACTGGTACAAACGCCTGGAACTGGTACAAACACCTGGTACAGACAGACTGGAACAAACACCTGGTACACACTGACTGGTACAGACTGACTGGTACAAACACCTGGTACAGACTGACTGGTACAAACACCTGGTATAGACTGACTGGTACAAACACCTGGAACTGGTACAAACACCTGGTACAGACTGACTGGTACAGACTGACTGGTACAAACACCTGGTACAGACTGACTGGTACAAACACATGGTACACACTGACTGGTACAAACACATGGTACACACTGACTGGTACAAACACCTGGAACAGACTGACTGGTACAAACACCTGGTACAGACTGACTGGTACAGACATTTGGTACAGACTGACTGGTACAAACACCTGTTACAGACTGACTGGTACAAACACCTGGAACTGGTACAAACACCTGGTACAGACTGACTGGTACAAACACCTGGTACACACTGACTGGTACAGACTGACTGGTACAAACACCTGGTACACACTGACTGGTACAAACACCTGGTATAGACTGACTGGTACAAACACATGGTACACACAGACTGGTACAAACACCTGGTACTCACTGACTGGTACAGACTGACTGGTACAAACACCTGGTACAGACTGACTGGTACAAACACCTGGTATAGACTGACTGGTACAAACACATGGTACACACTGACTGATACAAACACCTGGTACACACTGACTGGTACAAACACATGGTACACACTGACTGGTACAAACACCTGGTACACACTGACTGGTACAAACACCTACTATTACTGGCATAGGCAATATGCAGGCCTTATACAAATACATGTGATAATACAGATGATTCAGACCTTATTAGTCAAAGGTATGTATAATTATGTTATTCACTTTCTCTGCATGCAAGTGTTTATCTGTCCATGCAGTGTTTACGTGCAAGATATCACATGAATCCCTAGGCAGATTTAGTTCGTATTCACAGCATTACAGCATCAAGTTCTACATCTGATTTGATTTTGGTGATCATCACTCACGGTTAAAGGTCACAAGTCACTTTTTAAATAAGAAGGTTGTGTAAAAGATATTTCATCAACAACTCATTTTATTTAGCTTAAAATTAAAAAGGTCTTGGGGTTATCTGTGTGAGCCTCTGCTCACAGCCCATTGTTTTTTATCCATTTATTCATGGCATATTGAAGTTAGATACTTGAATGCCTCATTGTATTACTAAAACTATTGTAAATCTAATCCAATCTACTGATATATATGTAACAATACCTTTCCAATTCATTAAGGTTCAATGTATGATCCCAAGGTTGGACGTTCAGAAGGGAGGAGTTTCTAAAATACATTTGTACTTTGGTGCCACACTTAGTATGGATCTATTTAAGGAAATAAAGCTAACTTTTGGTGACTAAACATTGATCTTTGGTCTTTTTGCATGTTCAGCTATTGTACACATTAATCCTTAACATTTGTATTCATATTCATTTTTCTATAATTTCTAGGTAAACCTGGGTCACCAAAAGGCATGGCAAAGGGAGAGTTGTTAAAATCCAGAAATTTGAAAAGATATATTAATCAGGTGAATATATTACCATCTGGCCCTGTAAGGTTAGATTACCATATGGCCCTGTAAGGTTAGATTACCATCTGGCCCTGTAAGGTTAGATTACCATCTGGCCCTGTAAGGTTAGATTACCATCAGGCCCTGTAAGGTTAGATTACCATCTGGTCTAGTAAGGTTAGATTACCATCTGGCCCTGTAAGGTTAGATTACCATCAGGCCCTGTAAGGTTAGATTACCATCTTGTCTTGTAAGGTTAGATTACCATCAGGCCCTGTAAGGTTAGATTACCATCTTGCCCTGTAAGGTTAGATTACCATCTTGTCCTGTAAGGTTAGATTACCATCAGGCCCTGTAAGGTTAGATTACCATCTTGTCTTGTAAGGTTAGATTACCATCTTGTCCTGTAAGGTTAGATTACCATCAGGCCCTGTAAGGTTAGATTACCATCAGGCCCTGTAAGGTTAGATTACAATCTGGCCTAGTAAGGTTAGATTACCATCTGGCCCTGTAAGGTTAGATTACCATCTGGCCCTGTAAGGTTAGATTACCATCTTGTCCTGTAAGGTTAGATTACCATCTTGTCCTGTAAGGTTAGATTACCATCTTGCCTTGTAAGGTTAGATTACCATCAGGCCCTGTAAGGTTAGATTACCATCAGGCCCTGTAAGGTTAGATTACCATCTGGCCCTGTAAGGTTAGATTACCATCTGGCCCTGTAAGGTTAGATTACAATCTGGCCCTGTAAGGTTAGATTACCATCTGGCCCTGTAAGGTTAGATTACCATCAGGCCCTGTAAGGTTAGATTACCATCAGGCCCTGTAAGGTTAGATTACCATCTGGCCCTGTAAGGTTAGATTACCATCAGGCCCTGTAAGGTTAGATTACCATCAGGCCCTGTAAGGTTAGATTACCATCAGGCCCTGTAAGGTTAGATTACCATCTGGCTCTGTAAGGTTAGATTACCATCTGACTCTGTAAGGTTAGATTACCATCTGGCCCTGTAAGGTTAGATTACCATCTGGCCCTGTAAGGTTAGATTACCATCTGGCCCTGTAAGGTTAGATTACCATTTTGTCCTGTAAGGTTAGATTTTTTGAAGGTTAGATTACCATTTTGTCCTGTAAGGTTAGATGACCATCTGGCTCTGTAAGGTTAGATTACCATCTGGTCTAGTAAGGTTAGATCACAACCTGGCCCTGTAAGGTTAGATTACCATCTGGCCCTGTAAGGTTAGATTACCATCTGGCCCTTCATTCTTTTAGGTAATTAGATATATACTGTGTACAAAAAGTTGGGGATCACTATTTAAAGATAAATTTATTTGTATCAAAAGGCAAAAACTTTTGAACTATGAAATACATGAGTGAAGTAAAACAAAAAGAGAGCAATTTTGACCCACTTTGAATCAATTTCATTCAAGAATATCATGTATGATTACATAAAAATCTCATAACCCTCTCAAACAAAGTTAAAGTGGGTTCAACAACACTATCAATAGCGAGCATGTCTTCTATTGGCCCCAATAATGGCACGACATCAGCTTGGCATGCTGCAAATCAAACGCTGTATAGGCATTTTTTGAATTTCTGGTAACATTTCCCAGGCATGCTTGATAAGGTCTTAATGAGTAAGAGGTCATTGCACAAGAATCATAACTCCCTTATTGCCCTTTGTCCCATTCAGAGAGCATAACCCGTCTGTGCTGGCCCTTGTTATAAGATGTTTGTAACTAGTGAAAATATAGAAGTTTATGATGTATATCATTTTGATGCTATCTGTAAAAAATATATATGTGGATATATTTTATTGTCTTTTTTTGAGAAGTTTAATGGTGTTTTTGGAAAAGGCATTTTAGTTGTGTTATGATAAGAAGATAATATTTTCATCTGTGGTTTAACGATCGATTTCGCACATTGCTGTTCTGTATGAGACACTTTTCAGGGTTTTGTTTTAGCTGACTGTAGCTAAGTCTAAGTGTGAGAAGAGGATCCGCTCTCTAGGTGGTCCAGATTACAAGTACTACACAGACAATGCTGATGGTGACAACCAGGTTGAGAAGGTCTGTATTGATAAGTCTCCATATAGACCTGTAATACTGTATGCATCCTGATGTGAATACTGTTGCCCAATTTTAAGGCCTTTGATATACTCTCGTCTTAAAGGTCATTATTTGTATAAGTCTACAAGAATTGATTTCTTAGCACATCAGAATGATATATGTTATAGAGCTCACTTGTGTTTTAATGCTCAGCAAGGATGTACCTGGTATATATCAAACTCTTAAATTAGCATACCGTGCCTTGATATTTCACTCTGGAATGTCGAAGTGACGACCGGCGGCACGAAACTCCAGTCTCTCGGCGTAGTCAAATGGCGTTCGCAGTTTCCCTATGTCGAAGTCGGTGTAAACAATCTATCATTAAATACCTTCGGATACCGCAGTGGGCACAGATACCATGAAAGATCATGCCTATACTGAACAAACCACCTGCTTTTATGGGGACAAGGTAGGATTGAAAATGTTTAGACAGTTAAAACAACATCGTTTTCTGACCAATAGTACGCGTTCAGCCCAAGCCGGATGTCATCAGTCGCCTCATACTCAATGTGTTAACTGTCATTAACCATTAATTATACAATCAGCCAAGCCTTTCATGCTTGTTAGGTCACCTGGGTAAATTTGTTTACTTAAGGTAATTCCATGTGTTAGGGTCACGCTCATTGTGGTTTCCTAATTATCAATGGATCAGACCACTTCAAATGTTTAGTCGCAGTGACCAGTCAATTAATTTTTCTGTAGATTTTTTTTTTAATCTGATCTCCAATAAGTACCTGTGCACTATACGCGAGTGCGCACTATACACAAATATTTACGGTAATTTTTTCTCTTTAGATTTAGCATAAATGAGACATACAAGAAACAACTATAGTAAGTTACACTGTCTGTGTAGCCTTAACATTACTACTGTGGGATAAAGTTATATGACAGGAGTTCAGAATTACTATACCTTTTTCTTCAGTCTAAATTTTGATTATTTACATCACTTTCGTGTTCCCCACTTACTGAGCTGTTATCATTTGTGTTATCATGCTGGTCATTTTACCAAGGCGTTTTGTGAGTCATTTAATCTTGGATATATCCATTTAACATATCTGGAAATTTATGGAAAGGACTTTCATTAGAAACCATCCTCCCTGCCCATACTAAAGGGACAGTATCAAGACAAGTCGCCCCCAAGACAAGTCGCCCCCCTATTATATCAAGACAGGTCGTTCCTTGTCAAGACAGGTTGCCCCCTACATCAAGACAAGTCGTCCCCTTCATCAGAAGAAAAATAATGAATAAAAATATAATTATTTTGTTGTTTGATGCTATTTTATTTATTCCAATTATAAGAATTATGTACTCATATACCATATATTATATCTTATAATTTAAGCACTAATAATAATAAATATATACATGAAGTTTATTTTAAGAACATCCATAGGCTAAACAAATTTACAATAATAGTAATACATTTAGAATGATTTAATATACATGGACTCGCTTTATTCTAATTAAATAGAAACACAATATTATAAACAATAAAACATATGCACATGCAAATACACTACACTGTTTCTGCTCTTCATATAATGTCTGGTATATAGTCACTTATAGTCACTGATAACTTATACACTGTCACTGGTTTCCGTAGATGTGTCCACATTTCTTCAACAGTTTGTTCACGGAGATGGTGCCGTCGCTGTAGTTATCCCACAAGTCGTTGATTCTGCTCTGCAGTAGTCTGGTTGTCTTGTGCTGAAATCTTCTTAGTTTTCCCTCACTGACCATCTTCATCTGTACAGGCAGTAGGGTGGCTTCTTTGTGTAGAAGAATGACAAGGACGTAGAATGGGAGGTTTGACTTCTGGGCCTTTCTGTTTAGTCGGTGGTGCCATCCTTCTACGTCGTTGTTGGTCCGGATTGAAAGTCTGTAAACACTCCACGATGCGGGGGTCCAAGTAGTGCTGATATATGGGGGCGACTTGTCTTACGAGGGGGCGACTTTTCTTATTTAGGATTGGGGGCGACTTGTCTTGGGGGTGACTTGACTTGCATTCAAAGGGACATACTTGTTCATACTTGATACAAAATTATATGGCTGCCTTCGATGTTGTGTTCTCCTTTTCAGCAGAAATTCAGAATGTTAGAGAGTGATTCCATATATAGTAACAAACTTGTCAGACATACTCCTTGAAAATTCCAAGGATTTTTATTAAAGTCTGTTTCTGAATTTCAGGTGATGTCTTTTAATGAAGTGATGGATTCACCCCTCGCTAGACAAGAGTTCTTTAAATTCCTGAAAAGAGATGATAATGAGTCCTTACTAGGGTAAGAAGTTATTATTCAGTATTAATGATATTGAAACTGACTTTTACACTAGTTTTTCCATTGAATAATTCACCCCTTTGATGTTGCACCTGGTAGGGTACACGTAGAATATATTCTGATCAGTAAATGATGACATTTCAGTTTACTAATAAAAATATTTTCCTAGATCTTACCAAAGTATTCTCATTATATAATGAATTAATATATGAGGACAGTAATTTCATACAAATATAAGACAAGTCTTTAAAATGCCAATTAGCACAACACCCCTAATATGTTCACATCATTACCTTTTTAATTTCTATTATTGAAGTCAGCAACTTCCATAGATTCAATTTATAAGAAATCCCTCAAATAGGGATTGCTCAACTTCATTATTGAGCAGGCCTTGGACCTCTCATTTCATTATGGTATAAAGTTTAAAAGCCATTGGTGTCCTATGGAACAAGTGACATTCTCTATTAAAACTGTAGAACACTGTAGTTATGAAAAAATACTAATATATTTCAAATATTTGTTTGTCCAGATTTTGGAATGGTGTTGAGAAGCTGCGATCTGCTGACAAGGTAAGAAGTGATGCAAGGAAAAATGTAATAATTATGTCCCTAAAACATCAGATTTCATTGTCTAATTTTTGTATCTATAGGAATCAAGTAAGCTTTTGCTATTAGGCTAGATCTGTCATACTTTGTGTATCATTTGTAAACATGTTCTCAGCAGACTGGAATGAAATATATGAGTTGATCAGTATATGGGTCATGATCGATACAAAATGAAATCCTAGAGGACTGCTATCTCTTTTGAACTAAGAACTATAATACTATTTGAATGATATTGATGAAACTTTGTAGGAATGATCAGTACATAATTTTGTACAAATTGGTGTTGATTTCATGTTCATTATTCAGTAAATTATGGCCACCACAGCAATAATCGGTAAAAGGGTCAAAAAAAAAAAAAAAAAAATACTGGTACATCAATTTATGATCCTTATCAGTAGTATCAAATATTTGTTGTAATTAATGACTTATTTGACAGATGGCCTATGTTGACCTATATATTGACCTTTGACATAACTTTACATCACAATAAGATATGCAAATGAAAAGTAATATATTATATTGATTTATTTTGATGACATATTTGACCTGTGACCTTTGGTAACCTATGTGTATATACACAGTATTGACTTTTGGCATACCGGTAACTTTGTGATGTAAAAAGATGTGTAAATGAAAGTATATTATATTGATCAATATCGATGTCTTATCTGACCTTTGACCTTTACTTTTAACATCTGTTTGTCATTTTAGAATACAAGCGATAGAAAAGATGTTGAATATTGTGTTAAAGAGATATTAATTGAAGTAGACGGGAGGTGGGATTAATTGAAGTAGACGGGAGGTGGGATTAATTGAAGTAGACGGGAGGTGGGATTAATTGAAGTAGACGGGAGGTGGGATTAATTGAAGTAGACGGGAGGTGGGATTAATTGAAGTAGACTGGAGGTGGGATTAATTGAAGTAGACGGGAGGTGGGATTAATTGAAGTAGACGGGAGATGGGAGGGGGAAAATGATTAATTGATCATAGTTTTCTCAATTTCTTTATTTTGAAGCATATTGAGATATTGCTTAGAGTTGAAAAAAAATCTCAATTATCTACATGTGCTATGCCATGCTTTATGTGTATAATGATAGTTACCAGATCAGGTGAGTGTTTAGGTCTGAAGGTCACTTGTTAGGAAGCTTGGTCATGAGGAAGCCTAGACACACCTTGATCTCTTAATATGAATTTTTTTTTTGGCTTATAAATGGATTGATTGGTCACCCACAGCGACAACATCACCAGCTCGGCAGCAACATTTTCTACCAGTTCATCTCTAGTGCCACCACTGTGGTGAAAATTGACCGGTCGCTTGTGAAAACCATGGAGACATTCTTAAAGGGAGATACTGTGAGTAACAATGAAGCTTATGTGATGTTATTGATATTTATTGAAAGTAAGTTAACACAAGGTATTATAATTTACATGTCATATTACATAATGATAAACCAAGAGGTTTACATGCATATATGAGGATCTATTTATATGATCTATCTACATGGATTGAAAATCAAGTCAGATGCTGCACTATTTTACTTCAAAGTAGGAACTAAATAGTGGAAAACTAGTTTGAATCAGCTGGAATTATTCGGAATGCACTACATGCATATACTGTGAAAGTGTTCATATTATCAACAATAAAATTGAAATTATGGAAAAATGAACTTTGTATGGAATAAATATAGAAGATAATGGATAAAATTTATAATAAAGAGAAATCAAATTTTGAAGAAAAAAGAAATGTTATTCTATGGTGAAATTTGGCCTTTCCTGTCTCTGAGTAATATTAGTTTTTAAGTAATTAACCATGCATTCTCTATATTAGAGTACAGTAACAATAAGTGGTGTATACAGAAGCTGCATGTTATTTTTTCTGTAAGTAAATCTTATACACCCAGTATAAGTATGTTGTGTGTGTTTTTTCACAATCAGGGCCCAGATGCTTTCTTTGAGGCTCAGGACCAAGTATATCAGGTACTACAGAAAGATCACTACCCCTCCTTCCTTGTGAGTGACATCTATTACCGATTTATAATGAGTGATGATGATGAACGCATGGAAGCAGTGTCTGTTTCTTCTAAAGGTGAGACAATGCAGTATGTAAATATGAGACTATACACTGATAAGGTATCCTCTGAAGCCATAGTATTGTATAGAAAGTACCATAAGGATTAGAATTTCAGCTGCAAAACAAGAGTTCTTTTTCAGCATATGAGCAGGCAAGTGTGGAGGACTTTGCAAAGGTGGCATGGTACCCATTGCTAATGCTTGTTTAGGTAGCTTGTGCAAAAGATTTAAATCTTAAATACTACTCGAAGTTTGTCTGTAACAAACATTTTATGGTCATAGGAATGACTTCGGCAGCTATATCTTCTTCTCACAAAAATGAAATTGCACATGAAATCATGACTGTGAATATTATTTTTACAGGAAATAATGGTTATAAAAATTACATCATGGCTAATTCAATCTACTTTTTTACTGATCATTTTATGTTTTTCTATTGGTATTGTGAAACATTTTACTAATTTTCATGGCATCACTAGAAATAGTGAAACAAACGTTTACTGTTTTAAATTTAATTCAGTTTTCATGTGTTTGTGAATTTTTCTCACAGATTTTTTGTCCAATAGTGAAAGTGACTTATTTAAACAAGATACAGTTCACTATCAAATGCTGTATGTTTTATTTACATAGAAAACCTTTTCTAAATGGTAGGTATACAATGAAAAACAAAATATTAATAACCTGTTTTCACTAGATAAGTCAGATTCCTGTTATCAAAGCCTATCAATCAGTGAAAAATAGCATTATTATAGATCTACAGATGACTAAACCATAATTGATTTTGAAAACAGACCAGTTCTTCTTTGGACCCACTGAAAGCTTCCTGGAGCCACAAGATGAAGATGACTCTGATGATACAGATCTTTTTGCCACTGAGTCGTATGCAGCTAAGCAGAGACTCGAGATGCTTGATGAAAAGATTCGAAACAAGACACAAGCCATCCAGGCTGTTAAATCATCAAAGAAAACAGATGATGCTAAGGTGAGTGTGTTAATATATTTTATATTGTTTATATTGATATATTATCATCACATCAGGCAAAGAATAAAAAAAATATAGATTTATTATTGGAACACTATATCCAGGAATCAATTATTTTTTATAGGATTTTGTAAAACCACAGATACTGAAGTTTTATTAGGAAAACATGGTTTCTCTTGTCAGAAGTTCTCATATATACCAAACATTGCAGCATACTATTGAAGGTATTTTGTTTGGTATGACAGGGAGGGCTTTAATGTCATGACATTGGCAAATAAAAGTGCTGGATGTTAAAACATCATGAAATATAGTTAGCAGAATAGACTGGAGTATTTTGTGTTTTGTAGATTGGTAAAGTAGAGAAGGACATGGAGAAGGAGAGGGAGAACTTGATGAATGAGAAAAAACAGTTGGAGGCACACATCCTCCGCATGCAGGTGTGGTGTGAGAACCAGGGCAAGTGGCGGGCCCATGTATACGAAACAGAGGTATAACCGACAGCTACATCTGTATGAATAATGGACGTATAAAATGGAAAGTTTTTGATGCATGAGAAGGCAGTCATTTGGCACTGCATTTCATATCAATTCATGTCTCTTTGACAAAAACTTGTGAAAAATGTACTGAATATATTGATTTAACGAGACAATTCTCAAGAAATCATCTCATTAATTTTCAAATAGCAAAATCATCTTTAATATGAGTATTATAGCAAGTTCTATTTATAAAGGAGAATGTTGTCGTTTATAAAATGTGTATTGAAATACACATCAAATAATGAAATGGACATATTTTAACAAGGAAGGATGTAATTACATAATAATTTTGGTCTTTGTAGACACTTGAGGAGGGCGAGAAGAAAACTCCAGTGTTTGTTTTGATCATACACCTGGTTGGGGCTGGTTCAAGTCAAAACCTGCAGAAAAGTAATCATGGATGGGTTGTCTCCCGTACGCTACCAGAATTTCACAAGATGCATCAACAACTTATACAGGTTATTAAGTCGTCAATACTTGTTAAATTACCAGATTGGCATTTAATGTTGTTAATATCAATATACTGTAAACTGAATATTTAGATTTTGTCAGTAGCTTTCTGGAATAAATTAACAAATATTCTGATTTATGAAATTAAGCTTGTTTTAGGTCAGGATGACCTATAGCCATCGTGTTTCATCCATCACTCTTCATTAACTTTTGACATTTGAATATTCTTTTGAAGTTCCACCAGTGGGGTAGAGCTGAAACTTACCTGAAATGATCCTTAAAAAAAACACATTTAAAATTCTTCTCAAGTTTCACTGGTGCCATCAAGCTTATGTTTTTCAATTGTATCAAAAGTTAAATATGGCTGCCAGGGCAACCATTTTGTAACATGATTGCGCATTCATTGTTTCCCTGAACAGTACCTATTTCAAAGTTCTTTAGTTCTATGGTAGGCTTGAGCTGAAATTTGCCTGAAATGATCATGACATTGTCATCACCAAGTGCTATATTTCTGGTCAGTACAAAATCAAAAATGGCTGCCATGTCTGCCATCTTGAAAAACACATTTATAACTTTTTTTTAGGTTCTGTCAGTGAGATTGAGCTGAAGCTTGCATGAAATGATCCTGAGAAGGACCTGACTAAATGTTGTTAGTTGTTTGATCTGTCTTAAATCCAAAATGGCTGCCATTGCTGTGACCATGGAAACACATTTAAAACTTCAAGAGTGTGTTTGCCCTTAACACTTAAATATTCTGATTTATTTTACTCTGTAATTAGTCCCACTACTACCACTGATTTCACCAGTGACTGTATTATATATTGGTTTTTATAGATGACCAATGGGCCTCTAGTTTCATTATTTATCTACTATAGGTATCTCTTCTGTTTGTTGAATGTGTTTATTTTTTTTTTTTACATATGTTTTAAGTGGAATTACTACGTAACAAATGCATCGTAACTAATAATGAACTCAAATTTATTTAATTGATAGATTGGGTCATGGTTGAAGAAGAAGGACTTACCTTACATTGGAAGGTTCACAACAGTAGACGACAAGTTTATACAGGAGAGTAAAGTGGCAATTAATGAATACCTCAGTGTAAGTGTATTGTTTTATATTTTAGCATTTTCTTGGATTCCATGATTATCATATCTGCTGTATACGATAGGTATGTCTACTGTGTACTATATCGTTTGTTGAATACTGCCTGATTCTTAAGTCTGTTATCACTGGATGTGATGATATATTACCTGTAGTTAATGTTCAATAAGACAATTAATTTTTTTTGAAGACACCTTTACACTATATAAGGTAAACATTTATATTTTTCTTCATGCATTTGGTTGTAGGCGGTGATTAAGGATGAGAGAATGGCCCAGAGTGAGGTTTTGTGCCGGTTCCTAACCCCAACACCTGACTACCTGAAACAGCAGGAGACAGCAGCTAAAAAACAAACATTCTTCTTTGACAGTATTCTCAAAAGGTATGATGTATGTTACTTTGTTTTATTTTATAGAGCTGGCATAGTTAGCCCATAAACAAGATTTATGATCACTATAATGGATAGTAACTTTATAATACACAATATTTACCTAACGTTTCAATAATTTTAGGTAAATATTGTTAAAAATCAAGAATGCTGTATGTTATAACAATGTTTAAATGTTGTTTAAAGCATCTGATTTATTACTTATTTAATTGGGTTTTTTTTCTTTTCTTTTCTTTGGTTGTTGTTGAAGTTAAAACCCTTTAAATTTCAAATTATCTCTCTAGAAAGTAATGGTATGAGATAATTGATGTCTTTACTGAACTGGATAACAGATTTAGTTGTTCCAGCATGTCTCCACTTGATAGTGTCTGATATTTCTACTGCATTTCAACAATCTTTCAAATTTTATTTTTCAATCTTTTTTGAAAAAGCTTTACTTTTGAATCATAGTGAAATTTTTTTAAACAGAAACTAACCTGTCAGATATAAAATATATCTTTGTTTTTCTGCACCTGTGACCCACTCCTATAAACTTTAGATAAAAATAAGACTTGTGATTTCATTTCATTGTAGCCTCCCAAAAATAGGCCAGGAGTCCCATGACAATGAGGATGAAATGCTGTTTTCTGTGGATGATAGGTAGGCAGTATGGTGATTCAATGAAGTTTGTGTATGGCCCTATCTATTTTGTTTTGTTACTTTAAGTGGATGTAGCACCTGTTTACCACAAAACTATATTTGGTTTGTACACTATATTTCCATTATCAACATCCAAAAGCTTTTCACAGTATTTTCTGGACAGATGAAATCAAATTCACCATAATGCACATTAGAAGAAGGTAAGAATAGGGAGAAATGTATGCAATGAATATTATAGAGTTGGTATTTTTGACGGGGTAGAACCAGACAGGCATATTGACCTTACTTACTTAGGTTCATGGATATGTAAGGTTCAGAGTCACATTCATTAATTTATAAGAACTGTCTTCTGATGAATATTTAACTAAAAAGTAGTATTGGAAAATTCTCTTGTAAATCATGTTTTGGATACTTGATGTGATTTCAATAGGTTTTATACATCTTCTATTTATTTTGCCAAAACATTGGAATTGAACGTGTTCCAGCTGGGTCAGTCAATCATTGGTCAATACTGAAAAGTGAACTGTACATGTCTTATGGTTGATAATTCTGATAGTTTTAGAAATAATATACCTTCATTCTTACTGCAGTTCAAAACTGGACAGGAGCAAAGACTCTATAGCAGAACCTTTTTATAAGCTGGTGAATGAAGTGTTTGAGCTGAGAGGCATGTTTAAGTGGCTGAGGAAGAGTTTCATAGCCTTTGTAGAAGTCAGCTTTGGTAGATCCATAAACAGGTAAGACAGGTGTTTTAGTCAGCTGTCACCTTTACAATATCAAGTCAGGTGTTGAGGTCATCTGTCACCTTTAAGATATCAACTCATGTGTTCAGGTCAGCTGTCACCTTTATGATATCAAGTCAGGTGTTCAGGTCAGCTGTCACCATTACGATATCAAGTCAGGTGTTCAGGTCATCTGTCACCATTACAATATCAAGTCAGGTGTTCAGGTCATCTGTCACCTTTAAGATATCAACTCATGTGTTCAGGTCAGCTGTCACCTTTACGATATCGAGTCAGGTGTTCAGGTCATCTGTCACCATTACAATATCAAGTCAGGTGTTCAGGTCATCTGTCACCTTTACGATATCAAGTCAGGTGTTCAGGTCATCTGTCACCATTACAATATCAAGTCAGGTGTTCAGGTCATCTGTCACCTTTATGATATCAAGTCAGGTGTTCAGGTCATCTGTCACCTTTACGATATCAAGTCAGGTGTTCAGGTCATCTGTCACCATTACAATATCAAGTCAGGTGTTCAGGTCATCTGTCACCTTTACGATATCAAGTCAGGTGTTCAGGTCATCTGTCACCATTACAATATCAAGTCAGGTGTTCAGGTCATCTGTCACCTTTACAATATCAAGTCAGGTGTTCAGGTCATCTGTCACCTTTATGATATCAAGTCAGGTGTTCAGGTCATCTGTCACCTTTATGATATCAAGTCAGGTGTTCAGGTCAGCTGACATCTTTACAATATTTTAACCTTTACGATATCAAGTCAGGAGTTCAGGTCAGTTGAAACCTTTACAATATCAAGTCTGGTGTAGGGATGCAGTGATGATTAGGACATAGCTTGTCTCATCAGACAGTTAGTTGAAGGGCACTGTGATAATTGGGTTATATCTTGTCTCAATAGACAGTTGAGGGACACTGTGATAATTGGGTTATATCTTGTCTCAATAGACAGTTGAGGGACACTGATACTTGGGTTATATCTTGTCTCTATAAACAGTTGAGGGACTCTGTGATAATTGGGTTATATCTTGTGCCTATAGACAGTTGAGGGACGCTGTGATAATTGGGTTATATCTTGTATCTATAGACAGTTGAGGGACACTGATACTTGGGTTATATCTTGTCTCTATAAACAGTTGAGGGACTCTGTGATAATTGGGTTATATCTTGTCTCTATAGACAGTTGAAGGGCACTGTGATAATTGGGTTATATCTTGTCTCAATAGACAGTTGAGGGACGCTGTGATAATTGGGTTATATCTTGTATCTATAGACAGTTGAGGGACGCTGTGATAATTGGGTTATATCTTGTCTCAATAGACAGTTGAGGGACTCTGTGATAATTGGGTTATATCTTGTGCCTATAGACAGTTGAGGGACGCTGTGATAATTGGGTTATATCTTGTCTCAATAGACAGTTGAAGGGCACTGTGATAATTGGGTTATATCTTGTCTCTATAGACAGTTGAGGGACTCTGTGATAATTGGGTTATATCTTGTCTCAATAGACAGTTGAGGGACACTGTGATAATTGGGTTATATCTTGTCTCTATAGACAGTTGAGGGACGCTGTGATAATTGGGTTATATCTTGTCTCTATAAACAGTTGAGGGACGCTGTGATAATTAGGTTATATCTTGTCTCTATAGACAGTTGAGGGACACTGTGATAATTGGGTTATATCTTTTCTCTATAGACAGTTGAGGGACACGGTAGACTGGATTTTCTCTGAACCTATGATCATATACTACATACGCATGTTCAAAGACTCAATGTGGCCAGATGGGAAGCTAGCTCCTTATACTGAGGCCAAAAGTGATGAGAAGAAATTTAGAACACGGATGGAGGCAAAGGAGAAATTTCTTACAAATATTCCAGGTAATTTTACACTCAATAGTGTATTTAGGAAATGTGGTTTTTACATATAATTTCTTGTTTTTTTTTCTTTTTTCACCTAAAAGTTGCCAGTCATTTCATTACTGTTTGTCAATAGAAGTGATATATTATAATCGAAATGAAACAGCATTTCATTTCATACAATTTTTTTTCTGAAATTTTGGAGTTTGATAAGTGTGATATCTTTTCTTTATCTTTAGAGTCAACAGCGTGTATTTATTTATGTGGACAGAGTCCAAGTTAGCTGTAGATTACAAATAACTTATCTTTAGAGTCAACAGCATGTATTTATTAAAGTGGACAGAGTCCAAGTTAGCTGTAGATTACAAATAACTTACCTGATGATATCTCAATGATATTTATTTTATTATATTTTGTTACAGCTAATAAAAAATTAGGTGGAAAAATAAATGGAACATGCTTTTTCTTACTTTCAAGAACTAAAACAGAACTGACTTCACAAATTGAAGTAATATCATTTGAAAATTTTTTCTAGATGCTCTGAAATCTTTACTTGGAGAAAATAATGCACGAAGAGGCTCTATCAAAGTGTTTGAAGTCCTTCAGGATACCAGATTAAACAAACACCTGTTTTATGTAAGTACTATCCACCCCGTCATTTACTTTTCACAGTATGAAAACTAATTTACGACACAACATAAATCCAAACAACTTTTGAGAATGCAAAAATCTATAACAATAGAAATATTTTATGTTTTTATAAACACAAGAAATCCATCCTTATTTTAAGTTATATATTTTGAATTTTCAAGATAAGGGGTTAGTTAATTGTGACTTGAGTGAGCTTTTATTAGTTAGAGAGAAAATGAAAAGCCTTAAAATAGGTTAAAATTCATATATTTTTTTTTTTTTTGTAGATTCTTTTGGAAGTGGTTTTGATGGAGATCTGCCCGGAGCTTAATGACTCTGAGACAATAATGTCATCTGCTGAAGTTATTTCATTATAATGGTAGTCATGGTTCCACTGAGACAATATTGTTATCTAGTCTTTACTGTATCGTGATAGTCATGGTTCCACTATGAATAATATCTAATTCCCGAAACGTTTGAAATGAGATTTTAAGCGTGACCTGATGGTCTGATGACCTGTATTACTAGCTATCAACAAAGAATGCTATTTACAGGAAAATCGTCACCTTGTTGCTTGATTTTGATGTTGAATAATGATTTGAGGATATACGTAAGCTGCATAATCAAATTTCCGTGATGGTGGGGAGATGTTTGTACAAGGTTAAAGCAGAATGGGGAAAGGAAATAGGCAGTGAGAAGGCACTTGATCACTCCTTATTCAATCTACTCACAAAGTATCTTGTATTGGTTCCACAATACAAATTTTTTAACATGTTGTAGACCTCATAGTTACTGTTGTTAGTGACATCCCACCTATATATTCTTGCCTGGACTTTTCCTTATTGATATCAATGAGGTATATTATCAATGTCTTCTTGCTCAATTTCCTGTAGTACAGGTATTCACCTTAGTTGGAATTTATAGTGATGACAAAAAATCTACTGCTGCTGTAGAATTTTCCTTTCTTCAGTCTAGGTTTTGGCAGAATGTCTGGATTTCATGTCTCAGAAAGGATTAATGATTTCTATTACGTTTGTCATGATTTGTTTATGCAGAATTTTTCTGAAGAGCTATTTTGTTAACATTTAGACATTTTGTCGAAGAGGATAACATTGGCATAATATCTGAAAGGTCATGTGTATAAAATTAAGGTCATCATACGTATTAAATTCATTAGCTAAGTAATAACTGATACTAATCTGTTAAACATAAAGAGAGAAGGATTGGGGTTATGATGTCACTTTGTATTTCAATTATGATAACAGTGAAAAATTTGAAAATAATGATAAAGTAAGGTAAAATATGGCATTATGATATTGGACTTGAAACAATGACTCTGAGATGATCATAATTGGGATGTGTTGATGTGCTATGATTTTACATGAAGTCATTTTATGTTGCATGTTGCTCTTCATTTTAAAGATACTGTAATGTTTATTTTCTTATGATGTACAAATGCTGCCATAAGGTGATGCTTATCTAGATGCATCAGAAACCTAATGTCAGATGTCCAAGGGAGATTTAAAATTGACATGTTAAAACAAAAAAAACACTTTTCAGTGGATTGCACATATACATATTTTTGTAGCTCTGTAATGGACACATGTGAAACTTATAACAGGAATGCTTCCAGATCTTGTCCATCTGTTTATTATATAAGTTATATGTCTGGCTGATGACATGTAGGCCTGTCAAATCATTGAACATTCCATAGATATAAGCCTGTTTCCATGAAGACCTCGTTTGTTATGTCAGTTTGTTTACTCATTTATATGTTTGTACAATATGATATATAAATAGTACATGAAATGTACAGATTTTTTCCTCTTACATACATGTAGTAGTGTGAAGGGATTTGTGCAATAAATAAACAAAATGAAACAATATGTGTTCTTCATGTTTTAATCAGGACTCATTTCATTTGTGTACTATGCTCAAATATCATTCAGAAAAATAATCAGACAGGTACCAGTTCCAAGATTAGACATATCTATCAAAATTAAATACTAGATAACTGCAATAGTGACCAGACCCCAGGGTGCCAAGATTAGACACATCTATCAAAATTACATACTAGATAACTCAAACAGTGACCAGACCCCAGGGTGCCAAGATTAGACACATCTATCAAAATTACATACTAGATAACTCAAACAGTGACCAGACCCCAGGGTGCCAAGATTAGACACATCTATCAAAATTACATACTAGATAACTCAAACAGTGACCAGACCCCAGGGTGCCAAGATTAGACACATCTATCAAAATTAAATACTAGATAACTGCAATAGTGACTAGACCCCAGGGTGCCAAGATTAGACACATCTAAAAAAAATTAAATACTAGATAACTACAATAGTGACCAGACCCCAGGGTGCCAAGATTAGACACATCTATCAAAGTAATTACGAGATAACTCCAACAGTGACCAGACCCTGAGATGAAGCAGTTCAACTGAAACACATTGATCAGTAGTATAAGCGGTTTTAAATGCTACTGATTCTAGTGGCTTATTTACGTGGTATAGCACGAATACGATATGGCATCGGACTGCTAGTAAGTCCCAGTCGCCCTTCCAGTGACGGAAACACGCCACTGTGCTCAAGTTGAAGGTCAAACTTCTGAACGAGCGATGTGACGAATAAGTACAATTCGAGCCTGGCTAGGGATTCTCCAAGACACACACGTCTACCTGTACAGTGTAAATGATAACATGTTAAACAGTTAACACCAAAAAAGCACATCTATTTACTTCATAAGGTATGAGGTTTTACGTTAATTGAACTCGCATTCATGCAAACACACTTTCAAATTAGCAATTTGCAACTGGACACTCAAAGAAAAACAACTCACAGTATAGAAGAAAGGATTTTGGGTATTCCCTTCGCCGATTTTCGAATTATATGACAATATTAAATACTGTGCATAAATTGCTGTGAGTTTTGAAGTTGACTTGTTTGCAAACAGCTAACGCATCGTACGTACCAATGGAGAAAGCGATCATTCTTTTATCACTGACAAACATTCCATCTGCATCAAGGAAACGGGTCGGGTCAAATGTTTCTGGTTCAGGAAATACTGCGGCATCTCCTAAAACGGAATCTAGGTTTGGAATTATCATAGCATTTTTAGGAATGATGAATCCTTGAAATGGTATATCTTTCTTCGCACCATGTTGGACCGAAAGTGGGACTATATTGGCGCAGCGAAGAACCTCGGCTAAGACCGCTTCAGTGAAGGGCAAGCTGGATCGGTCCGCACCAGTCACAGACCGGGATTGGCCGACGACATTGTTGATTTCTGTGAACATTCGGTCTTGTATGTCTGGGTGGTGGAGAAGGTACAAAACGCTGTATCTGACAGCAGTGGCGACTGTCTCAGTACCCGCCGCAAACAAATGCAACAGTGTTATTAACAGGTTGTCATCTGGGGAAGTAAACAATTATAAACCTTTAAAAAACGAATGATAAGGGATATCGAAGTGGTCAACACTATGTTCTAATTTGTGAAACATTTTAAATGCGATATGTTTGTATCAAAAGAGCCTTTCTTGTTGTTGATCTGTTGCACCAATTTGTATATCAATTAACATTGATACCCGGCTTCCTCTTACAATAAAATGATAAAATCGTAATGTTGCCAGAGCTGCTAAACGCAGCAGGTCGACCCCAAACCAGTCCATCTTTAATATTCATATTGGTAAAGGTAAAACCCGTTGTTAAGGAGATGATTGTAAAGGTAAAACCCGTTGTTAAGGAGTTGATTGTAAATGTAAAACCCACTGTTAAGGAGTTGATTGTAAATGTATAACCCACTGTTAAGGATTGATTGTAAATGTAAAACCCACTGTTAAGGATTGATTGTAAATGTATAACCCGCTGTTAAGGAGTTAATCGTAAATGTAAAACCCACTGTTAAGGATTGATTGTAAATGTATAACCCACTGTTAAGGAGTTGATTGTAAATGTATAACCCGCTGTTAAGGAGTTAATCGTGAATGTATAACCCGCTGTTTAGGAGTTAATCGTAAATGTAAAACCCGCTGTTAAGGATTGATTGTAAATGTAAAACCTACTGTTAAGGATTGATTGTAAATGTAAAACCCACTGTTAAGGATTGATAGTAAATGTAAAACCCGCTGTTTAGGAGTTGATCGTAAATGTAAAACCCACTGTTAAGGATTGATTGTAAATGTAAAACCCACTGTTAAGGATTGATTGTAAATGTAAAACACGCTGTTAAGGATTGATTGTAAATGTAAAACACGCTGTTAAGGAGTTAATCGTAAATGTAAAACCCGCTGTTAAGGAGTTAATCGTAAATGTAAAACACGTTGTTAAGGAGTTAATCGTAAATGTAAAACACGTTGTTAAGGAGTTAATAGGAGTTGATTGTAAATGTAAAACCCGCTGTTAAGGAGTTAATCGTAAATGTAAAACCCGTTGTTAAGGAGTTGATTGTAAATGTAAAACACGCTGTTAAGGAGTTAATCGTAAATGTAAAACCCGCTGTTAAGGAGTTAATCGTAAATGTAAAACACGTTGTTAAGGAGTTAATCGTAAATGTAAAACACGTTGTTAAGGAGTTAATAGGAGTTGATTGTAAATGTAAAACCCGCTGTTAAGGAGTTAATCGTAAATGTAAAACCCGTTGTTAAGGAGTTAATCGTAAATGTAAAACACGTTGTTAAGGAGTTAATCGTAAATGTAAAACCAGTTGTTAAGGAGTTAATCGTAAATGTAAAACCCGTTGTTAAGGAGTTAATCGTAAATGTAAAACACGTTGTTAAGGAGTTAATCGTAAATGTATAACCCGCTGTTAAGGAGTTAATAGGAGTTGATTGTAAAAGTATAACCCGCTGTTAAGGAGTTAATAGGAGTTGATTGTAAATGTATAACCCGCTGTTAAGGAGTTAATCGTAAATGTATAACCCGCTGTTAAGGATTGATTGTAAATGTAAAACCCGCTGTTAAGGAGTTGATTGTAAATGTAAAACCCACTGTTAAGGATTGATTGTAAATGTAAAACCCACTGTTAAGGATTGATTGTAAATGTATAACCCACTGTTAAGGATTGATTGTAAATGTAAAACCCACTGTTAAGGAGTTAATCGTAAATGTATGACCCACTGTTAAGGAGTTGATAGTAAATGTAAAACACGCCGTTAAGGATTGATTGTAAATATATAACCCGCTGTTAAGGAGTTGATTGTAAATATATAACCCGCTGTTAAGGAGTTAATCGTAAATGTAAAACCCACTGTTAAGGATTGATTGTAAATGTAAAACCCACTGTTAAGGAGTTAATCGTAAATGTATGACCCACTGTTAAGGAGTTGATAGTAAATGTAAAACACGCCGTTAAGGATTGATTGTAAATATATAACCCGCTGTTAAGGAGTTGATTGTAAATATATAACCCGCTGTTAAGGAGTTAATCGTAAATGTATATATAACCCGTGGTTAAGGAGTTAATCGTAAATGTATATATAACCCACTGTTAAGGAGTTAATCGTAAATGTATAACCCGCTGTTAAGGAGTTAATAGGAGTTAATCGTAAATGTAAAACCCGCTGTTAAGGAGTTAATCGTAAATGTAAAACCCGTTGTTAAGGAGTTAATCGTAAATGTAAAACCCGCTGTTAAGGATTGATTGTAAATGTAAAACACGTTGTTAAGGAGTTAATCGTAAATGTAAAACCCGCTGTTAAGGAGTTAATCGTAAATGTAAAACACGTTGTTAAGGAGTTAATCGTAAATGTATAACCCGCTGTTAAGGATTGATTGTAAATGTAAAACACGTTGTTAAGGAGTTAATCGTAAATGTAAAACCCGCTGTTAAGGAGTTAATCGTAACTGTATAACCCGCTGTTAAGGAGTTAATCGTAAATGTAAAACCCGCTGTTAAGGAGTTAATCGTAAATGTAAAACCCACTGTTAAGGAGTTAATCGTAAATGTAAAACCCACTGTTAAGGAGTTAATCGTAAATGTAAAACCCGCTGTTAAGGAGTTAATCGTAAATGTATAACCCGCTGTTAAGGAGTTAATCGTAAATGTAAAACCCACTGTTAAGGAGTTAATCGTAAATGTAAAACCCACTGTTAAGGAGTTAATCGTAAATGTAAAACCCGCTGTTAAGGAGTTAATCGTAAATGTAAAACCCACTGTTAAGGAGTTAATCGTAAATGTAAAACACGTTGTTAAGGAGTTAATCGTAAATGTAAAACACGTTGTTAAGGAGTTAATCGTAAATGTATAACCCGCTTTTAAGGAGTTAATCGTAAATGCAAAACACGTTGTTAAGGAGTTAATCGTTAATGTAAAACACGTTGTTAAGGAGTTAATCGTAAATGTAAAACACGTTGTTAAGGAGTTAATCGTAAATGTAAAACCCGCTGTTAAGGAGTTAATCGTAAATGTAAAACCCGCTGTTAAGGAGTTAATCGTAAATGTATAACCCGCTGTTAAGGAGTTAATCGTAAATGTAAAACCCGCTGTTAAGGAGTTAATCGTAAATGTATAACCCGCTGTTAAGGAGTTAATCGTAAATGTATAACCCGCTGTTAAGGAGTTAATCGTAAATGTATAACCCGTTGTTAAGGAGTTAATCGTAAATGTAAAACACGTTGTTAAGGAGTTAATCGTAAATGTAAAACCCACTGTTAAGGAGTTAATCGTAAATGGAAAACACGTTGTTAAGGAGTTAATCGTAAATGTATAACCCGTTGTTAAGGAGTTAATCGTAAATGTATAACCCGCTGTTAAGGAGTTAATCGTAAATGTATAACCCGCTGTTAAGGATTGATTGTAAATGTAAAACACGTTGTTAAGGAGTTAATCGTAAATGTAAAACACGTTGTTAAGGAGTTAATCGTAAATGTATAACCTGCTGTTAAGGAGTTGATTGTAAATGTATAACCCGCTGTTAAGGAGTTAATCGTAAATGTAAAACACGTTGTTAAGGAGTTAATCGTAAATGTAAAACCCGCTGTTAAGGATTGATTGTAAATGTATAACCCGCTGTTAAGGAGTTAATCGTAAATGTAAAACCAAACTGTGATCAATATTTTTGTTCAATCTGTTGATTGTACCATCTTTCAAAATGCTGGGCACAAAATGTGTTTTTTTTTTTATCCTGCGACTTTTGCCACGTCCAGTATAAATATTTAGGATACGTAGGATAAAGCATAAAGATCTTTGATAATTTGAAAAAGGAATTGTGGCTCCTGTTCGGAATAATATTTTGACCTTCATTTAAGTTTTCCAGTATCCAGACATTACCAAACAGATTAAAGCATTTGGTAAGTATACCTGACTCATTTATTCATTCACTTAGCATCTCACGACACTAATAGGGAAAAATCTTTATTTACAGGTGAATTTCTAAATGAGATTTAGAATTATCCGACTATTGTAGATTAGTCTGACCTGTTAACCTTTTTATTTTGATTTTACCTGTGAATATCTTTGTATCCGGCCCAGATCGGTGCTGCTCGTGAAGGAAAGCGTCTATAAAATCCCTTGTTTCGTTTTCATGAAAAGAGTCTCGGTGACTCTGTACCTGTTCAGAAAAGTAGTCCAAAAATTCGCTGAATAATGTCTTAAATCTTTTGATCTTGAACATATCGCCAGGTAAATATCGGAGGGCGGGGAAACAGCTAATCAATCCGGTCGGTTTGTTTATCGTCGCAGCTTCATCCAACAGCGTCACTAGCTGCAGAAACTTTCTATCATTGTGGTCAAATCTCTCACCAAACACAATGCTACAGATCACATTCGCTACACTGACATGGATGTTGTCGCCAAGGTCAAACGGTTCACAGCTGGTTTCCATAACGTGATCAATAAACACGTCAACCTCTTCATGTATCTTGGTTTCCAAAGATTTCTTTCCAAATCCAAATTCGCGCAATGCTTTGAGTACGAATGTTCTATTCTGTTTCCATAGTTCCCCTGAACTTGCCAGTAAACCTGTCAACAAGATATAATTGATAAAAATTTCATGTTTGTGATTCCCCTAAGATTACGATAGGTGTGCACGAGAAGATATTCAATTCATAAACAATTGAAATATTTTAGGATCAAACACATATAAATTGTGTTTTCATTTCTTTACTTCTTTTGCCTTGGAAGATCCATGTTTCTATATGGTTTCGTGGCAAGTTGTAAGATCAATCACATCACACAAGTTTTATGAGGCGATATATATTGTGATAGGATGCAGCGTTAATATAACACTGAAATTATAGCTACATGTACAGTATCAATTTTACCTTTTTCTTTAGAGAGTTCTACGATGACGAACGTTTCCGGTCTATCAGAGAAATCGTCAGCTCTTTTTACAAATGCTTCTTTTAGATTCTCATATCCGTTGATGACGACTATTGTCAATGTCCCGAGTTTGATGCTGAACACGTCCCCGTATTTCCGACGAAGGTTTCTGAAAATTTCTGTTGGTTTCCCCCTTTTCATTAATCTGATACTCCCAAACACTGGTAAACCGTAGGGACCAGGGGGGAGATTCTTTCGTCGTATCAGCCATTTCAAGCTTAGAATCAAAGCAGTAAAAATGACTAGCAGTACTGTGACATCAAACGAACCACTTGCAGTCATGTTGGCAAATGGTGGGATGACAATAAATATGAAATCCTACCATCGGTTGCCTTTCATAGGAGGAAGCAGTTCGTACGCGGAAAGGGTTTAGATTTGTGTAAAATATCCCTCTTAAGTTATTTCCTAAACCTGACGATGTACAGGATATCAACTCTTATAATCGCTGTTTTACAACTGTTAAGCTGAACATGTCCCTACTTACACGCTTGACTATTACAACAAATCTAAATTACTGTTACTTTGTTTTGATATGATTATCTAGATAATTGATTTTTCTTAATTTGAAACTTAATTTGAATAACTGAATTAGAGTATACAATATCTGTTAGAAATCTTACACGTTACGTAGTGGATGAGTGTAGGGATGTTCGTGCCTTGTATTATGTATTAAATACTTTGAAATAAGGAAAACAAAACTAAGGTACTGATCAATGTATCAGATTAACCGACTTGTATGACAATTGATAGAATTGTCCGTAGATATGCCTCCCCCAGTGAACATTATACCTATAACATCGACTATTCCTCGTCGACAAGAGCTTAACAACAGGAAGGAGACTACTAGTTTTCTTGATATCACGTAACAAGAAGAGACTGGATTCGACCGGTAGTATTCAATATTGCCTTAATCGGAATATACCAGCTGTCTGTTGATGTTTAGTCCTCAATTATCACCCTTTCTAGGCAATACTAAAAGGACCTTTCTTAGATTTGATAAATTTCTATTGGTTATAAGTGGCGACCTTTTAATTTTTGGACTGACCAGAAAAACAAAATATATGAAAGGCGGCCACCTTAGATTTTGGTTATTGAAATCTGTTATTTTCTTTGTTTAATTACATCATGGATCTTTCTCAAAATTAATGTAGATGTTCCATATGTTTCTAGTTGTGATTTGAAAATGTTAGGACTGATTAAAAACAAAAACAAAAAATGCACGCAAAATACAATAATAAAAACAAAACAAAATCGCTAAGAGGCCGCCATCTTTGATTTTAGCTTTACAAGTTTGTTATCATATTTCTTGAGAACTACTGAATGGATATTTCTCAATTTTCGTATGTAGAATCCAACTGGTCCCTAGTTGTGCCTTTTTCATAATGAAAATTTGTTATTGCTATTTCTTCAGAAGCCCTTGTTGGTTCTGTCCTAAATATCACAAGAGTAGGTTCAACTTGGTCTGTATTTGTGCACTTTTAATTTTGGAACTGATCAGATAAAAATAGCTGACTGGTGGATTTTGAATATGAAGGTGTGTTTACGTTTAAAGTGCTAAATGATCTCTCTCAAAATTCATATATAAGCTTCCATTGGTTTTAAATTGTGCCAGTGGTGCCCCTCCAGTTTTGAGACTGATCAGGACGACAGGCGGCCATATTGAATTTTAGAATAGATAGTTCCTAAATTTCATTTGTAGAATTCACTTTGTCCCTATCCTAGTTATACTGTTCCTATTATTGAACTGATCAGAAAATCAAAATACAAAGACAACCGTCTTGCATTTGGTAGTTTAAGAATAGTGTCCATATATCTTGAGAAGTATTCTAAATTTTCATATGATTAAGAGCAAATAATGATGTTAATGAAAAAATAAGAGTAATGAAGGAAAAAGAAAGGGAAACATAAAAAAAATATGAATATTACACAACAACAGGTTTCTTTTCACCTGTCAACCCAACTGTGCATTTTGTACACAATACGCTCCCATTACTGACGGTTTCTTTGGAAAGTTGTTTTATTATTTCTACGTAAAATGCAGAAAAAAGAAATACCAACGGCATGTCCTGCAGACAGCCTACAGTGCCCTTTTTGGAAATGACGTCATCAGCCAAGGAAGGGACATTACATTTCTCTGTCTATCAACTCTTTCTCTTCATGTACCGTTGACCACTTGACTGTCAATAAAACATACAGATTTCAAATTCCGATGGGAATGTAAGATGGACATTGACAATAATTCTCTTGTTGGTAAAGACGTCATCAGTATATATCTGAGTGTGAACAGTTAAGTAAAATTGGACGGTTGTGCGCGAGTGATTTCTGTTCAACGAGTTATCTCAGTGAAGCGGTATGTAATCCCCCTGTGTCGTATCCTTTTGTCCTTTTGTGTAATAAAGCAGTAGTGTCGTTCTAACTTAACAAGTACTTATCACTTCCTGGTCAGACTTATATCAAACTAACAACATTTGCGTACATACAGATTTATAAACATAATAACACTTCTCGCTGGTCGGCGGTGTTCGATCCGCTTTGTAGTGACAACATAAGTCAGACTAAATTTTATTAAAGGACAATGGAAATAAGAAGATAAACACAAGAATAACGTGTATAATGATGTATTTTGTGAAGACGAATTGAAATCTGTATAACGTTTGACATGAAATTAGAAATGTCAGACTCAACTTCCGATTACTATAATATGATGAGATTTAATCGATATTGAATCCATTTAAGACAAAATCAACACACAATGATTACAGTCAAAAGAAACACAGTGCTAGGGTTTTTTTATCCGAAGTACGAACGAAACAAAATCAAGATGACAGAAGTAATCGGTTCTAATTATCATGGTGTTGGTGAAAGGCTAAAGAACAAAAGAAAATAAAGAATTAAAAAATCCATTGAAATTCTACTGTTTCATTTCTAGAATATTACTGTGAATCTGTGTATAAAGTCCTTTAAAAATGATTTTGTTATATGAACGATTACGAAGATTTCTGTCTAATTTGAAAAAAAAGTCGTGAAAATAGCACACCAACAGGAACGCCCATATATCGCACATAGCGCTGATGTACATAAAACTGGTATTAAGTCACATATCAGTTCCTGGGTACTGCCCTGAATTTATAAGGATAAGGGCCGTAGGTTATGCCGAAAATACCCTCCTCTGAGGGTAGATTGTTGGGGTCGTCAGGTTGAACTTCAAATCTCTGTACAAAGGAGGTAAGAAACAGATACATCTCCATTCTCGCCAATGCCTCTCCAAGACACACTCGTCTCCCTGCCAAAGGAAACACTACTTGTATTTATCTGTCGATATGTCAGAGTATCAGCATTCACATTATACACCAAAGATAAAAACAATAATAATTGATTTAGAAACATTGTATTTAGGTTGGTTTCATATCTTTATCGTCCTAACACCAGCTATGGTCATTTAAGGACGACCTTTTTGGTCTGCAACTTTAAGTTTCTTCATTTCACTTTGGTGCATATACATTGTAAGTTTACTACTTCACCTGCAATACAGGATAGTTTTATAATAGTTTGTATGTAAGTAACAACAACACAATTATACACCAGAACAGAAATTAATCGCACTGCACATAATTCATAACAGCAAAACAGAGTATGTGTAATTTTCCGGTCATTTTCCCAGTAAACAGTAACATCATATTATTTGTTTAAATATTCAACAATAGTTAAACTAATTCGTTAATCAAGTGACTTATATCATTAAGTAATCGAACATTAACCAAAGGGAATGTCGGCACACCAATAAATTTTGCAAAATTTGCAAGAGTCTGAGACCAACAGAGGCCAACTAAGGCCTGATCCAGAAAAAATACGTACGATTTTATATCTTTTATATTACATATTTATATTTTATAAATAAAAGTATAATTAAGTATTACACAAGGTAAATCATGTAAGCATTGTCTTCTTTCTATGTAAATTCGGGTAGGTACAGTAGTATTTCCCGGAATAAACATACGTCCTAATACACATACAGACTTATACCCTAGTGCGTTTTATATGTGGCTCAAAAAGAAGAAAACGCTAAGAAACCAGCAATGCGGCTTATACTCGGGTATAATTTATAGTCCGGAAAATAACGATACTAAGATTGTTGCATTTCAATTGGTAACGAAACCAAAATGTGAACACATTTGACCACGACTGCTATTTTCAATATCACTATACCATTTTTGTATAAGCTGGTAATGAAATGTTGAACTCATTACTCATTAGTTTTTATTCATCGCATCTAACTAATTAGTTTTTTCAGACCCCGAATCCAATGGTGAATCTAGTAGTATAGGATATAACAAAGTATCAAATAATTTCTGTTGTAAGTCAACAAAAAGCATTTATTATTTTTTCTACAAAAGGCAAAAACTTCGTATTGTGCTTGTTCTGGTAAGTTTGGGAGGTTGCAATATGTTCGTGTAAGCCTCCTTGTGATAGAACGGAACTGAAGTCGACTTTATAGCCCTGCCATTCTGAAATATACCGCCGAAGGAACACAGCAGGACACCCTACCCAGTCACATTAAACTGACAAGAAGCAGTCGTTACTCTACCATAATGCTGATCGTTAAGCACCAAGTAATGACTTGAATTTTAACAATTTGGTGTGTCTCGGCCAGTGAACAAAGCCCAAAGTCTTCTTTTCAAGGGTAAACGCTCAACTTAAGACCAAAATTGAGACAGTGTCAAGAGATTTCACGAAGAAGAAAGATCTATTAGAAAAGATGCCTGGTACACAGGTAAAATTCTTACATCCTACCCTTTTCTTTTTCTCATGTTTATTATGTATTGGCAGCACATGCATTCTGCATACATTCTGTATCACGATTTCTATCTTAATATATCATGTCTTCACTTCACTCTGTGCTTAAAATTTAATTTTCTAACATAATACCTTCTGATTTACTCGCTCGAGCTTGATTCTATGCTCACATACCCTTTTAGGAAAAGCTTTGTACCCTGGTTCTGGTTCCTACACAGTTATGTTTTACAGAATGTCAGACTTACCAAGGGAGAAAGCAACGACTTTTTCAGCACCACAGAATCGTCCTTGTTGGTCTAAAAATCTGGTCGGGTCGAATTGGTCGGGGTTCGGGAAAATGTCCGGATCACTTAATATCGAGTCCAAATTAGGAAGAATTGTGGAATCTTTTGGAATGCGATATCCCCTGAAGTAAATATCCTTCAATGATCCATGCGGTACAGAGAGGGGGACTATATTGGTACGGCGGAGGATTTCTGTGAGAAACGCTTCACAATAGTGCATATTAGGTCTGTCAGCAACGGTTGGCGGACGGGACAGCCCGACGACTGATTCTATTTCCTGAAACAAACGAGTCTGCATGTCCGGGTTCCTTAGTAAATAAACAATAGCCCAGCGAATCGTTGTAGTGGTAGTCTCCGTTCCCGCCAAAAACAGATGAAGAATGATGAAGTGTAAATTATCGTCTGAAATTTAATGACAAGATTTTATAAACATTAAATGATACCGATGACAATGCATACCTTAGCGAGCTTTTTAATAGACGAGCTATATTAAAGGATTAATACGTCATTAAAGCTATTTTAAGTTATAAACCTAAATCTAATGAAAACCTTGTATTTCTCTAAAGAAGAGAAAGTTATTTACTTTACACTAACACGGAAGTTCGAGTCCAAAAGGAACCCAAAGCTCTTACAAAAAGGTATTAGCTTCGCCCAGAAGCATGCATGAGTATTTTAGTTGGTATGTGTTACAATATAATACAAATGGCTGACCGTAGCGAATTTTCGACTCGCTAGAGGATATTATACAAAAGATCGTTAAAATCGTTAAGAACAAAATCACCAGAGTGACATTTAAGCCCATTCAACATAAGCAAAGCTGTTGAAAGGTAGAAAACGACAAACGGAGCTGTCTCACTTCAGACGAATGGCAAAATATTGCTCTACTCCAACTAGACAGTGGTTCAAAAAGACGCTCAAAGTTGCACTAGCTACCACGCAGACATGGCGACTTCAGCTTACTCTTGTAACCACTTTATACAACGACATTGTGTACATGTATGACTTTGCCATCAATTAACTAACTGCGATAATACTTTTCTTTACATGACGCATGTAGTTGTAGAGTGGGAAATCTCTATACTGTTGTATCTGTGATATACAAATACTGTACCTGCCGCGTTGAAGCCTAAATTAGGGGGCAATTTATATGGTGATTAATATATACACTCGAATACAGGGTTATCTATACAGAACAACATGTACATTTGAACACAGTGTTATGTATATAGAACAAAAGTACATCTGAACGCATGGTTATATACACAGAACAAAAATACACCTGAACAAAGTGTTATCTACACAGAACAAAAATACACCTGAACGCATGGCTATCCACACAGAACAAAAGTACACCTGAACGCATGGTTATATACACAGAACAAAAATACACCTGAACGCATGGCTATCTACACAGAACAAAAGTACACCTGAACGCATGGTTATATACACAGAACAAAAACACACCTGAACGCATGGCTATATACACAGAACAAAAGTACACCTGAACGCATTGTTATTTACACAGAACAAAAATACACCAGAACGCGTGGTTATCTACACAGAACAAAAGTACACCTGAACGCATTGTTATTTACACAGAACAAAAATACACCAGAACGCGTGGTTATCTACACAGAACAAAAGTACACCTGAACGCATTGTTATATGCACAGAACAAAAATACACCTGAACGCATGGCTATATACACAGAACAAAAGTACACCTGAACGCATGGCTATATACACAGAACAAAAGTACACCTGAACGCATGGTTATATACACAGAACAAAAATACACCTGAACGCGTGGTTTTCTACACAGAACAAAAGTACACCTGAACGCATTGTTATTTACACAGAACAAAAGTACACCTGAACGCATGGTTATCTACACAGAACAAAAATACACCAGAACGCGTGGTTATCTACACAGAACAAAAGTACAACTGAACGCATGGTTATCTACACAGAACAAAAATACACCAGAACGTATGTCTATCTACACAGAACAAAAATACACCAGAACGTATGTCTATCTACACAGAACAAAAGTACACCTGAACGCATGGTTATATACACAGAACAAAAATACACCTGAACGCATGGCTATATACACAGAACAAAAATACACCTGAACGCATTGTTATATACACAGAACAAAAGTACACCTGAACGCATGGTTATCTACACAGAACAAAAATACACCAGAACGCATGGTTATCTACACAGAACAAAAGTACACCTGAACGCATGGTTATCTACATAGAACAAAAATACACCAGAACGCATGTCTTTCTACACAGAACAAAAGTACACCTGAACGCATGGCTATATACACAGAACAAAAATACACCTGAACGCATGGTTATATACACAGAACAAAAGTACACCTGAACGCATTGTTATTTACACAGAACAAAAGTACACCTGAACGCATGGTTATCTACACAGAACAAAAATACACCAGAACGCGTGGTTATCTACACAGAACAAAAGTACACCAGAACGCATGGTTATCTACACAGAACAAAAATACACCTGAACGCATGGTTATCTACAAAGAACAAAAATACACCAGAACGCATGTCTTTCTACACAGAACAAAAGTACACCTGAACGCATGGTTATATACACAGAACAAAAATACACCTGAACGCATGGCTATATACACAGAACAAAAGTACAACTGAACGCATGGTTATCTACACAGAACAAAAATACACCAGAACGCATGTCTTTCTACACAGAACAAAAGTACACCTGAACGCATGGCTATATACACAGAACAAAAATACACCTGAACGCATGGCTATATACACAGAACAAAAGTACACCTGAACGCATTGTTATATACACAGAACAAAAATACACCAGAACGCGTGGTTATCTACACAGAACAAAAGTACAACTGAACGCATGGTTATCTACACAGAACAAAAATACACCAGAACGTATGTCTATCTACACAGAACAAAAATACACCAGAACGTATGTCTATCTACACAGAACAAAAGTACACCTGAACGCATGGCTATATACACAGAACAAAAGTACACCTGAACGCATGGCTATCTATACAGGGCAATTCGTACACCGGAACACGTTTTTATACAGAACAATGCGTACTCTTGACAAAGGGTTATCCATACAGAACAATAGGTATACCTAGACACACGCTTATCTATACAGAACACTGCATCCATCTGATCCCATTGTTATCTATACAAAACAATACGTATACATGAGGACCTGGTTTTCTATGCAGAATAACATGTATATCTGCTTTTCAAAACAATAATACCTACATCTGTACACAGGGTTGTTGTCGTGTTTCGGTTGTTCCTTTATAAAAGCATCTATAAGATCTTGCGTAGAGTTCGGATCAAACATCTTTTTGTGTTTCTCAACTGACATCTTGAAGTATTCTCTTAATTGTGTTAAGTTCTTAAAAAACGTTTTAATACCGAACATATCCCCTGGTAGAAATCGTAACACAGGGAGCGTATTTACGATACTTGTAGGGCTGGCAGATTGTAAATCGATTTTGCTTAGTAGCCACTTAAAGTCCTTGTCGTCGTGCTCAAAACGTTGTCCGAATACAATACTGCATATGACGTTGGACACACAAGAATGCGCAAGAGTGTTGATATCAAATGGTTCACCATTGCTTTGGCCAATGACATCCAAGAACACATCGACCTCTTCCTTGATTTTACCCTCCAGTGATTTTTTCCCGAATCCGAACTCCCGGAGAGCAGTCAGTGAGAAGGTTCTCGTTTGTTTCCAGTGGTCTCCCGAACTTGCAAGTAAACCTGAAAAAATTATGTCACTTTTTAACAAAAAAAAATACCTTTAATGGGATAAAAAAAAAAGCAATTTCCATTCAAACGAATTACAATGTACATGAAAGCGGGCTGAGGATGGACGCAGGTGTCTAAGAATTGCCTTTTACAGGGTGCTATCTTTGGCCCTTCTTTTTCTTTCTCTGCTTGATGAAAAGTTGCCAAAGCGAATGTATTGTTCGACTTCTCCGGAGCAGCCTCCATCACCGACAACTGAAATTTAGGAATGCTGAAAAACTTTTTATTCAAAGTTTTACGTTTTGCTCATTTCCTTGGAATATAAAGTTGCATTATAGTATGGACAATTTATAAGAAATTACTATAGAAATGATATAGAATATCTCGTGCAATTTACGTTATTGACTACTAATGCCTTGTCCTCGCCAATCTGCCACTGTGGAGTCCACAACAGCAGTTTTCCTACAT